CACAGTTGCGGTGATAAACGGACGCATGAAAGAGCCAGCGGGACACCCGACCCTACCCACTCATTCGATCGGTGGCGTATCCGAAAAATATGCGCCATACAATGCGTCATATGAGATGGTCTTTCGCTGTAGGAAGGGGACGGACACTGGCCAAAAGGCCCAAACCTAACCGAATCGATCCGAGAATCCAACACGCACACAACGCCCTCCCCCCGACCACGCTGAGACGTTCTGTTATTTGTTATTTGTTATTTGTTTTTTGTGTGTTCGATGAACCGAATGTTTGACCCACTTTCCCACAAATTAACGCACTATATGGCGAATGGAATCCACACACAACAGCGTTAGAAAGAGAATAACAGCGAAGTAGAACGCGAGAGAAACCGAACTTTGATGAGAGCAGCCAGCAGAAGAGCGAAACAAGCCGTCATAATTGAGGTCGACGTCGAGACTACGCTCGATCATAAAAATAATATTGATTTGCAGTTGTTGTTGTTGTATGCGTGTTTCTTTTATTCGTGCTTGTAATTTACGCAACGCAACGCAACGCTCGCTCGCTCGTTTGTCGTTGTCTCTCTCGGCTACTTGTCTTTGCATTCGACTAACATTAACAGCAGCACGAGATCAACAACATCTGCAGTTGTTGAACTTTTTGCAAACAGCGCGCAGAGGCAGCGGCAGTGGAGCTGGATCCAAAATCTGAAATCAAACAAAAAACCTGTTCCGAGGCCGAGATGGAGCTTGGGCTTGCCACACGTCTCTCTCGGGCAAATCAAAAGCTGTAGAGCCAAAACCAACGAAAACTTGACGTACACGTCCCGTACTCTCCCACTCCACTCCATATCACTGCTCCCTCTACCCACCTCTCGCTCTCTACCTGTCCTCTGTCCTCTGCCCTCCTCACTCTCTTGCTGCTTTTGCTGTGCCCACTTTTCTGTTTTTCTGCTGCGATTTCCGCAGCAGTCCCCGCTGCTGCTGCTGCTGCTGCTGCTGTTGATCTTTGTGGACTGTACTTTTTTGTTGTTTGAATCGCAAACTTGTTGGTTGATGGGGGGGAGGGAGTGTTGATTGAAATCGATCGGTGCAACGCAGCCGGCATTAGTCACCCCAAGCTTTGACCTTGCTGCAGTGCATCAACATCTGAAACGTACATCAGTAGCTGGTAGCTGGTGCTCCAATCTGTTCAGCTGCTATTCGGATATCTATAATTTGGTTGAGCTAAAAGTGATCTCCCGGCCATGTAATTAATATTGCAACCAACCCCGGAGCAGCATCTTAAACTCCCCCCCACCGAACTACCCGTCCTGCCACGCCTAGTGCTTGTCGTTTTTGAGAACGAGCGCATAAATGACGCTTTCCTGTGTACTTAAGGTGTCTAAACTTGACTACCGTGTGCAGTGGAGTGGTGTGTGGTGTTGTGTTGTGTGGACTCAGGCCCAGAATCTTCCAGTCCGCAACCTTGCCCAAGACAACAACTTCTGATGCTTCTGCTGCTTCTGCTGCTGCTGTCGATGACCATTATTTTAGCTTACGGCGATATATTTGCTCAACCCTCTCAGTTGTTGTCCACTCAGAGAGGCGGCGGTGCGACTCGCATCTGTGCATTTGTCCGGCCTTGAGTCCCATCAGTCCATTCTCTTCTCTTCAGCTCTGTTCGGTTCTGTTCGCCTCTTGGGTGTTTGCTACCGGTCGGGTTGAGCTTTTGCTTTTTGTTTTTGCTGTACTCTTGCTCCACAGATGTACAGCCAGCCATCCACAGGCTCAGTCAGCCGCTGAGCGGAGCATGACAAACAGTTGCAGCCAAAGCAAATAATTAGTATACATCGATTATCTTGCGCCTCGGCCCAGTCACCGGGGCACAGAGTCACAGTCCCACAAAAGGTACTACCTGGGCCCTCGGCTACCGGGCACAGCTTTTTGCCTGGCCTGCCACCACACAAAACAGGATCCATCTCCAGATGTTGGCACTTCGCACACGCGCTCAGCTTGTTGGCTCTACTCTTTGCTTAAGAGTATGTTAGATATTTATAAGCAGTTTGAAGCGCATCAATTTGTCCAATGTTATACGGATAAACACCATTATTTTCTTTATGAATCATTGATAAAAGTGAAACAAGAAATCAAAGAAAACGAATTACTCGATTCAAATGCATGCATCCAATCCATTCATGGAGATCCATCGCTCTACTGAGCCCTGAAAGGGTATTTAATGTCTCGTTCAACCGAAACAGATTTCCTTTCTGCTTGTTGTTGCTGCCTGCGACTTCAGTTTGGAGCCTCCGCAGCCTCCAACTGGGCGTGCGCCTACGCGCGCCCAGCAGCCCACAAAACGAGTTCCCCCTCGCAAATCGCAATTCGCGACTCCCCAACTCCGACGCCGACAACGATTCGCCTTCTCCTCCTCCTCCGCTCCTCTCCTCCACCATGTGTGCGCGGAGTGGTGCGGAGCAGTGTGCTCATAAAATGCAGTGCCAGAAACTGTACCCCGGCCCCAGAGCGTAGTCAACCCGAACAGATCTCGAACCAAAGGAGACGTGTGCGCAGCTCGTGCCAATTTCTTTGGGGCCTCCAACTTTAGTAGTCGCCTTGCGAGTCGTTTTGTCTTTCGCTGGTTTCTGCATATAAATAAGAATATTCACACACACACACACACACAGCCAGGGTAAGGGAATACAAACATACATACATATAGGGCATAGCGGGTATATGTACATGTGTATGGGTGGGTCTGTGCTTAGATGGCAACGCGTCTAGAAAAGGTGGGGCTGCATTTGCATTAAAGTGCCATTTTTAATTAGTCCCATGCATAAAATAAGCAACGGGTTGCGCAGCAACAACACACGAGTGCTCTGGGGGGCGCCAGAAGGCCCTTATATGGAACCACTCAGAGCGCTATCCCAGTATTTCCACAATCGCTTTATATGACAATTTTCAAAGTGGTCCCCATTCTAGCTGACATTGCAGGGCAAAATAATTCCCTCCAGCCTTGAATTTAAATTTATGGGATCTAGATATTTGCACCGCAGAAGAACAAGTAAGTAGTAATTACATTACGAGAGTTGGTGCACTTTATGGGTGCTCTTCTTGTCGTACACCATGTACATTGTATCTAGAATTAGATTAGATAGCAAAGTGGTAAAGAAATATAATCATCAGCCTCATCGAGCCCTTGAACAATAAATAAATTACAACTAATTACTGCAAATGATTATTTCAAGTTTGATGGGCGTCTTTTCCATTGTTTGCTTTCGAGGCAACCCAATTTGGTGTGTGTAAAATCAGCAGCAGCGGTGGTTACATTTGAACAACAATTCCCAGTGTGTTTCCTGTGCAAAAGCTTTTAGGGCTAATGAATCCAGAAATGGCTCCGTTGAATTGGTTGAGATTGTCGGGTCCCATCTGATCGCATCCCCTGCTGCTGTCGAAGCAGCTACCGGTTACCGCTTACCGCTTATGATCTTGATTGAATCTGAGGCTTTCATCATAATAATCAACATAATGATGATGGAATTTCCTTCATCCGTTCTCGGCTCTTCCTCTCTCACCCTCTCTGGCCGAGAGGGTTCATTTGTAGCTGTACTTTAGGCCCCAGCACACACGTGAAGAGTTGGCCAAGAACGACAGCTACCGCTACCGCTACCGCACTCCAAGCTCCAACTTGAACTCCAGTTGGCGACTGGCACTGAGACTGAGACTTGGACTTGGACTTGGACTGTTCCCTGTTCCCTGTTCTTTTGTCTAGTGAAATGTTGAAAGCATCATTAATTTTTTTTCGTTCTTTTTTGTTTGTTTTTCATACGTACTCACTTTATGCCTTGGCTTTAACTTGAACAAAGTTGGGATGTAAGTATGATAATTGCGGAATGAAAGGGAGGCAAAGATAGAGAGAGTCGGGAAAAAAAGTGACCCATAATTACCCAGCCAGCAGCAGAACAATCATGGGAAAAATGACCGTAACTTGGCTCAGTCTCTCACTCACCTCTCCCTCTCTCTCTCTCTCTCTCTCTTTCTTTCTCTCTTCGACGCTTATTCTGTTGTGTCTCTGATGAAGTACAATTATTTAAGCAATGTTTTATGATTATCTTGCTGTAAACACAGCACGCATAAAAGACAACAAAATAGTTAAGAGAGAATAAAAAGAGAAGTGAGAATCTTAGAGTTCAGCGTGCAGGCGTGGAGATACTCAGCAGCAAACTGGGAACAGTAAAAGCAGGACTGTACATGGAATATATGTAGATAAGTTATAGCTTTAGATATTTCTTGTAATTAACCAATTTCTTGATGTTTAATTACTAAAGAAAAAGACTAAGCAACTTTTAACACTTCCTTCATACCCTTTCAAACTACCAACTACAGGGTACACACAAGTACACCCCATGAGAAAGCACACACTCTCAGCAGAAGCAGAGAACGGAGATCGGGTCAGAGCACCCCGCGTCGGCCACAGTTCTGTCACTGCCGAGATAATGTTGCATCGCGAATCGCTTGATTTTTGTTTTATTATTGCCGCCGCGTAGCTGGAACAAGTGCAGCCCAACAGCAAGTGCAGCGTGCACCTTTGTGCGTGCCCTCCGATCGAGTTGCCTTGAGGCAGACAGACACAGACAGGCAGACAGGCAGACCCCTGCTACGGACCCATGCTAATTAGAGCGACGGCCTCGGCCTTGTTTTTATGCGCATTTTAGCGTGAATTGTCCCACTCTCTCTCTCTCTCTCTCTCCCTGCTCTGTCTCTGTCTCTCTATCTTTTCCCTGGTGCATAAATTTTCTGCTCCACGTCAGCATACATGTATAATTAATGCGGAGGCCAACACATTCATGGGAAAATGTTGCAGCGGAACAAACGGTTAAGCGGAAATCGAAAATTGGGTCCTGGCGAGCATTTTCCAGCAGTTTGCATTTTAATGTAAATAAATAAAACTTCTTTCACATAAGTTGAATCCTTGTTTCGGTTCAGCTAATATTTGGCTTTTACGTGTAACCGCAGGACAGGTGGGCAGATTGGACAGGTGTGTGTGTGTGTGTGTGGACATTGGAATCGAAAGCGTGACGAGGAATCAAAATTGCTTCGTCTGAATGCCGTACTGAACCAGAAAGGTCAGATATGTGACCATGGCGGAGAGAAAGAACAGGGTGAGCTCATTGGACACCTCGAACAGGCCCAAAGGACACACCCGCAACTGCTGGTGATTGAGGCGGCCCAGAAAGATCTCCAACTGCAAAATATAATCCTTAAAGTGGGTGCTATGAAAATGAGTCCACACGCACCTTGATGTGGCAGCTTTTACTCTGGCCAATGGTATAGTTCTCCAGGCTCAATCTGCGCACCAAGCGCGAACCACTGACCGCTCCATGGACGGCCAGGGTCAGCAGGACCACGTCAATGAGCAGCTTGAGCACGAGGCCCCACAGACTGAAGTGATACTCCCTGCGCATGATGGCATGGTAGGAGACCATGGCCATGGCGGAGAGATTTTGCACCAGGCTCAGGAATAGTGGCAGATCGAAGAGCCGCTGGAAGGAGCGGGTCACCTGGTGAATGTCCTCGTAAATGGCCAAACACTCGTCCAGATTGGAGTGGGCTCGGACATCTGGCTGCTGCTGTATGTCCTCCTCCTCCGAGCCGAGTTGAGCGCGCAAGCGATGATCCACATAGCGATTCAACTCCGAATAGAGCACTCCAATGCTCAGATAACCCACAAAGCAAAAGTGCATAATCATGCCCGTGCCAATGGATGTGTAGAGATCACACAGAACTGTGAGAAACACCCAGGGCGTGTGCTGAGTCTGGAAGGCCAGGAACACAAAGGCCAGCGACAATAGCTTGAACATCAGCAGCGTCAGCTCCAAGCTGCCACCAAAGCCCTCCTCCACCGTTCGTGTCAGCGTCCTCAAACGCCGGAAGAGTGCAAAGAAATGGTTGATTAGTTGCAGGATCCTCTGCTCGTAGCAGATTTGCAGCACCAGTATGATGGCACTGCACACGAGACAGCCGACCAGGCGCAGTCCAAAGAACACCCGCAGGTACCAGTCCGTGTATTGGTCGGCCCAGGCCCCATAGCTAAAGCCATAGAAGCAGCTACCCAGCACGCGGATCAGCACGGAGATCCAGTTGTACACCTTTCGACTGCCCGCAAGCAACTGGAAGTCGTCACTGCGTCCGATCCGAAAGGTGGCCACACCAAAGGCGGTGGCATAGTAGAAGCAACCGCGGAGCAGCACCGCCGATATCCTCGGAGCGTTGAGCCAAGCAGGAACTCGCGGCATGACTGTGCTCCGGCAACGAGACTCTCATGCCATATCATGCTATCAATTCATTAAGTAATTAGATTGACTATTGATTGAGCGCCCCCACTCATCGATTCACTTCGTTGCACTCATCCAACTTGAATCCAATCCAACTGGCACTGATGCTAGGAAAACAAAGTTTATGTGTCGTAAAAATACTGACCCTGTAACCCTGTAACCTGTTCGAATTTTGTTAACAACTTGCAACAATTTGTAAGCATTTGTTATGGCAGTTTTATTCAGCATTCGGTCGAACTACAATTAGGTTATGATACAAGAACTGTTCCCCATTTGGAAGTCTGAAACTTGCTCGCATTTCTTCATGATACTTCCGGACACCTTGAAGCTTTGCTGATAAATGCAGCTGGCTTTATAATCGATTGGTTTGTATTCCATACTGCATCACGTAGGTGAAATAGGTAATCATGCTTGACAAAAACACCAAAATGATCTCATTGGAGACCTCAAACAAGCCCAAGGGACGCACACGAAACTCGTTGACGTTCAGGCGACTCAGGAACATCTCCAACTGCAAAAATACAATCAAATAGAAAGATGTTCAATGGACGATTTCAAAGCCAAACCTTAACATGCCACTGCTTGTGATCGCTGCCAGAGAAATTCTCCAGGCTCAATCTTCGTATTACTTTGGAGCTGCTGACCGCCTCGTGGGCAGCCAGGGTTAGGAGTATCACATCGGCGAAGCTCTTCAGCACGAGGCCCCACATGGCAGCCTGGCTGGGATACCGATCGGAGCGTATGATCACCTCGTAGGACAGCACCGTGGTGGCAAAGATCTTGGCCACGAGTATTACGAGCAGTGGCAGCTCGAGCAGGACATGAAATGATCGGCCCACACGCTCGATCTCGTCGTAGACGGCCACGCACTCCTCCAGGCGGCCACTGGCGATCCTCAGCTGACGGCGACTGGCAGGAGCACCGCCAGTACGTTCCAGCGAACGGAGCTGGCGCCGCAGCTCAACGCGAACATAACTGTTGACCTCCGAGTAGAGGGCCGCCACACTGAGGTAGCCCACGAAACCGATGTGAATGATCATTAGGGAACCAAGTTCGACAATGATCTCGCACAGAGTTGTCAGCCAGCCCAGCAGACTGGAAGGAAACAGTAAATGATGACACTCGCAGATGAGCTCGTAGCCGAGGCAGACGATCTTGAAGAGGAGTAGAACAAACTCCCGCTTGCCACCAAAGCCGATCTTCGTTCTCGCCGACATTTGACGCACACGACGGAAGAGCCTGAGGAAACTGTTGATCATGCGGAGAACCTTGTGCTCGTGGAACAGCTGCAGCACCAGGATGCAAGTGGTGCAGACGAGACAGGCCACCAGTCGCATGCACTGCATCACCCACTCATAGGGATCCTCGAGCACCAGCACGTATGGCGCACAGAAGCAGCCAACCATCGCAGAGCAGAAGATGCGCAGGATAAGGGAGTACCACTTGAGCCGGAAGTTCTTGCGTCCCATCAAGGCATCGTTGGGTCCTTTCTTGGAGATGCCAAAACAGACTACGCCCAAGGCTCTGGCGTAGTGGTAACTAATGGCCAGGATATACGCGGATAGCCTGGAAGGACGCACCTCTCGCAGGCACCCGAACATGATGAAGACTGCTCCACATTTGGACATTTGGAGCTCCTGATTATCTGCTTTATTCAGTGTTTACTTGGCCACTAACCATTTAGTTGGCATACGATTTGGATAAACAACGAATCAATCCACTGATTACAAACCATTCCCTATTTGATTTCCTCCTTCGACTTCATTTTGTATTGTAGAATATATATAACAAAGGTGAATAGAGCGGAAAGGAAGACCAGGACCAGCTCGTTGGAGACATCAAACAGACCCAGGGGACGCACGCGAAACTCGTATAGATTCAAGTGTGTGACGAACATATCGAACTGAAAGTTAAAGTGAATGATGATTGTGAGTATATTTATAGATGCCCAACGGCTTACTGTCGTGTGCCAGTCTTTGTGGTCGCTGACAGCGCAGTTCTCCAGACTGAGTCGTCGAATGACCCCAAACTGAGTCATGGCTCCTTGGACTGACAGTGTGACGAGCAGAAAGTCTAGAATCACTTTGGTTATCAGCAAACAAAGCTGCATTTTATGCTCATCGAACCAACCATCCACAGTCAGTTTGTAGATGGCAACACCGAGAAAAATATAGTTATGAATGATGCCCAAGAAGAACGGAGCATCGAATAGCTTCTGAAATGTAGTGGCCAGGCAATAAATCTCCCTATAGAGTGCCAGGCACTCGTCCAGCTTTCGGCGCACAGTCCTCAATTGGTGGCGTCCTGGCTGTAGTCCGTACCTCCGTTGCAGGGATTGCAATTGGCCGCGCAGCTCGCAGCGCACAAAATCATTCAGCTCGGAGTAGAGTATCCCGAGGCTGAGGTAGTACACAAAACTGATGTACATCAGCATGTTGGTGCCGAAAATGATGAGCGTGCTGCACCACCAAGTCACAATGTTGCTCAGACTGAACCCTACGAGTACATCAAAGAGGAATACCAGCTCATGGATGCGGCAGCTCAATGAGAGGAGCAGCAGCAAAAGCTCTCGCCTTCCGCCATAGCCCACAAAGGATTTTCGGCTGGGTAGAGCGCGAACCCTACGAAAGAGGAGCAGACTGGCGTTGCACAATTGAACTGTCTCTGTTCTGTATAGAAGCTGCAGTCGAACTATGTAAATGCAGATCAGAGTGATAATTATTATGCGTAGCACATGAGACACCTTTTCCATGTAGTCCTCTAGGTGCTGGATCCATAGGCAGTACAAGCAACCAAATATTCCCATGGCCACAATCCGATAGATAGCACAGAACCACATCAACCAAGGACAATGGTAAGCTCTCAGTTGCATCACCGTTTGGCCGTTTTTGTCTCTCCGTTGACTCCACTCCACTTTAAAGCTGAGCATTCCCATTAGTCTGGCATGGCAGTACATCACGCGTAGGATACCCGCGGATAGTTTGGATGCACTCATTTCACGTAGAACCCCAAACATGACTGGAAATTTGCAGCGCAAAAGGTATCACTCGAAGGTGCATTTTACTAATGAAAATTTAACCAGTACTCCGATAAGATCGCTGTTGGCAGGAGGACTTATCCCTAGAGGATTGGTTCTGATGGGTAATTGTATTGGACGCAGATCCCCATCAAAAGGCTGTCACTGCGACACTCCGCGGAACTGAGTCCCAAAGCCTTATGGTAAATGTATCCTTAGAAAGGAACACACCTTGCTAACCTCAGCCACTTAGATGTCCATTAGTGATGTTCATGCTTTTTGCAGCCTTTCCATTAATGTTTACAATCTCGACATCTCAATAATGTGATCGGTTGTTTTGATTTGAAAACCACGTGTCCCTCCGATCTATATGGTACGCTCCCTCCCATACAAAGTTCTTTATCTGGCTTTGCTTTTGATTCACACGCTCACGATCCGATCCGATCCAAGGCGATGCGATCCTGGCTGAGCTGAGGAGATGTGGCTCTCTGTGGCAGCCACTCGGCCCTGCTTCTGGCTGTGTAAATGACGCCCCCACTTTATGCTGTACGTGATCTTCGTCTACAGTATCTTTTGTGCTACATCTTTGTTGGATGGCATGGGCTATCTGGGCATGTGCACGATTACAGCGAGCAGCGATTTGCGTCCGTCCGCATCTGGGAGAGAGATCTTTCAAGTCTGTCAAGCAGGGGTCCACACCCCAACTCTCGTCTCTTTGTCTGACATTTGAAAAGAATTTTCACGTTGTATGAGTTATTTTTTCCCATCTTCTTTTTGGTTTTTTTCTTCTTCTTCTTCTTCGTAGGCAATTACAGTAACAACAAGAGGAGGAACAACTACAGCAGCGCAGCTCTCGAGCACGTACATTTTCCGGCATTGTACGAAAATTGTGGGAACAATCAACGAAATAAGCAAAAGTGCTTTGCATGCCGTTGATTTGTGCTGCAAATTGCTTTGGACTGAAATTACGACAAAAAGATGGAAAAAAACCGAGCAAAACATTCGAGGAGCCGAAGCTTTAAATACACTTTTCAGACCGGTGGAGTAAATCGAAAAACTTTTCCAACCAAACACTGTTCAAGCAATCGATCAATCGTTTGCTCTTGGCAGCGCAGTAGCCGCAGTAGCTGTTGATGTACATATATGTATTATTACAGCAAGTTAAACGATAGAAGTATGATACTCTTTTAAAGGGTATCTCATGTGCCCATATAGGGACCCAGAGCAGCAACAAATGAGCCGAGTCGAGCTAAGGAAATGACGCAAAGCCACAACTTGGTCAGCAGATTAGAGCAGTGATCGGTAGGAGAAATCCCCGATCCCTCGCTGGTGGAATCCCTCCCAGGCCCTGCTTGACCTCACGTTGCTCAGGGGCCAGGCCGGCCAGACACGCAGCCTCAACGCAGCGGCAGCTGTGCGAGGGGTTGGTAGGAGGGGAAAGTATGTAAGTAGACTTCAGGGTTGATTGATTTCAATTGCAGCTAGAACAGTGCTCGTCGTCTCTGATGGCCTTGGCTCGCTTTTCACGCTTTTCCAGGCATTGCACTTACATAGGCTCAGTTGGGCCGTCCCTCCCCTCCGCACCTCTGACATTAATGGTGATTAATGGAAAGATTGAACGTAATTAAATTTGTTTTTGTTTTTTTTGTGTTCCTTTTCGCTGGGCTATAAATTATTTGCGATTTCGCAGACGCCGTTTGGTTCACTGCAAAAGCAACAGCAGCAACAACACACAACGGCAAAAAAAAAATGTGAAAGCAAAGAGAAATAGCGAAACGACAATAACAACAGCAACAGCGGCAGGCTTAGTGGTACCGTTACAGCGAGAGCAACAACCAGTGAAGGAAGACAGCGAAAAGCAACAAAAGCAACATATCAGCGAGGCCAACGTCATAAATTTTGCCTTCTGCAGCTTTGAATTTATTGCGAGGCGAATGCAAAAGCGCAGTCGAAAATGCGGCCAACGCAGAGTACAAACACCTCCACCGGGCTCTGTTTCTGTCCAAAAGTGTAGACATTCTTATAAGGTGAGGCATTCGCAGAGCGCGTGCGGGCTGTGTGTTTACACACACACAACATATGAATGTAGAGCTCGAAAATAATTCACCCTGTATTATTTTACCGTGCTTGACTTCCTAAGCTTCGTGTGCGTGTGTGTGTGACTGCATTGCGATTGTAGCCATTAAAATCTTGAAATTGCATGCTAATAACCGTTCCCTGGCCCGCTAGTTAAGTGGGCAAATATGTTGTACATGCTCGTTACTAAATGCAAGCATGTAATTTGCCTCTTTTCGCAATGCCATTATTACATATTGCATTCTTGATTCGCTCAGCCGCCTCTAAGCAGTACAGATGCCGATACATACATATTTGTACATACATACGTGTGTGCACTGTACACACACATATAAACTAGCTTTGCCTAGCAACTACAGACGGAAAGAAAGTTGCTTCGTTGCAAGTGTTTGATACTCAGCTAGACCAACTTGGAAGAACTATTAAGTAGAAATTGAGAACAAAGTTTATTGTGTTTTGATTGAAATATGTCTAGTAACCGCAATAGAAAGTAATAAAAGATAAAAACATAAAAAATGCTACTAGAAGATCATTTTTATATATGAGTTGCAAACATCTGGTTAAATCTATAATGACCTCTGCAGGGTAGTTTAGTTTTCTATGTGTTTTATAGTTGTGGGACAAAACGAGGCAGAGGAATCCACAGACAGCACCAATGGCTGGCAGTAGGCGGCAACAGTGGCTGGGGGACGGGGGCCAGCATCAATCATCATCAAGCCAAAGCCATAGTTTGGATCTAAGGCCCCTCTCTGCCAGCGCGATCTGCCGGAAGTCGCAGCCAATCTAATGTTAAGTGCCCACTCCACTTCCCTAGCTACGCGTAGCACAAAAATTACGACTAGAAAGCATTTTCCCCATTATTGAAGTGTTTGAATACAGTGGAGCCTCTTATGTGTGTGGATTGTGTGATTGATGAAGTAGACTAGGAAGTTGGTTCATGTTCCGCTGCTCTCGCACACCCAACAAATGGATTCGACCCTATTTGATACTGTGGAATCTCTTAAGACAGACAGGTCCCTGAGGCGTTTGTCTCTCTATCTCATAGACTAACAACTCCATTTGGCGGATTGAATTCTTGAGCTTAAGATGTAGGCACTAGATGGAATATTCCCCAAATGTTGGAATAGCTACCAGCGCTCACTTTTCTCACTATTTATTTTATATAGCTCAATCGTTGCTTTTCCAAGACATGTGGCTTGCTTCCTCCTAGATGAGGGTTCACTGTCCGTTGCATCCGTAGCCCGAGGCCCCGCTGAGTAATTCTCTCTCTCTCTCCTTTCTCTACTCGAGTGCTCCGAATTTTCTTTACGCTTCAGGCACAAATCATGCCAGCCCCAGCGGAAAAGGGCCCCAACCCCGACCAAAACCATTTCGTAGGCAAATAAAAAGCTTTTAAGATCTTTTTTGTTTTACATTTTTTAAGTTTTTTAAGGTTTTTTTTTGTTGTTGTGTTGCTCTTTACAGTATTTTTTTGTTTGCGTAAGTTTTACAAAATTTGTTGTTAGTTTCGTTGAAGGAAATTTACACAATGCTTTTGTTGTAGTTTTTTTTTTTTTTTCGTTTAGCTGCTTGGGAGTCTGCGTCCCATACAATATACACAGGTTGGTTGTTCAAAATAACATATTTGGGAGAGTCGAATGCTTAGAAAAATAATTTTGACGAAATAATAATATACAGAGATACTAACTCGTACATTTATGATACAATTTAGAGATAAAAATCGTCACAAAAGGACATACGACACAATCAAAACTATTTCCAGAGGGGGCACCCTCACACATGTGTGTGTATGAGCTTAAAGGGGGATTTGTTTAAATAATTTCTGTTATAATTACATTTTAATAATTGAGATCATGACACAAAGTACACTTCAAATACTTTTGGCACACGCGTGCATCAGTGCCCGAAACACGCTGAGAACGCTTGAATTTTTTGGGAGGGGGGACTTTGGGGCTTTTTGAGTGTGGGTTCAGGTGTGGGAGCCTATCTAATATCTAGTGGATGCATAGCAAGAGACCATCATTATTATCTGTAAGAATGTACAGATGCAATTTCCTAATTACAATTTAATCTATCATACAAGTGCTGCTACCAAAAGTCTTTCGTTTTGCTATCATTTACGTTTGCTAATGCACTGATATCTCTCCATATAAATATAAATACATTATACATATCTATCATAATAATTTCAATAGTTATATCTATCGCTATGCATCTGGGTATTTCGCGTACGTTTCCGGCGGCTGTGCACGCGCGTTGATCTTTTGTTGTTGTTTTTTAACTTTCTTCTGTTTTTTAGCGCTTTTAGATTTGGCGCTTTTTGTTGGACAACATTTGGAGCCGTCAAGTCTTTGTAAAGTTAATATATAAAAAAAACAAATTACTTTAAACAATATTACGTTCACAATAAATATAATGTATTGCAATGGTTTTTGCGGCTGCTCCTGGCTGCGGCGGCACGACGACTCCTACTCGTCCTTCTTCACAATCGTCCCGGTTTCGCTATTACCTCTATCCAGACACCGAGCCTGAAGGTCATTGTTGTTGGGACAGTTGTTGTTGTTGTTGCTGCTGCTACTTGTGTTGCGTTTTGGCACATTCGAAATTGCTTTGGGGGCCTTGCGCTCTCTGTAAAAGGCTGAAACGATAATGGTTAAAAAGGAAAAGTGGCAATTAGTCACAGTACACGTACTCGTATAAATATGTAGTTGTACACACAAAGATTATACAACAATTAAGAAGGCAGTTGTTGAGATTTCTAAAGTATCCAAATAAAATCAATATTTCTTTGAAACTATTTTTCTTTTAAATCCCTATCAGTGGATCAGGTTCCACGAATTCCACTATGTACATATGTATTTGTTCTCCGTGTTAAATTAATATATGTAGACTTTATACGAATATAGAGTGCAAATAGAAAGAACAACACAAGTTTCAGCGTAATTGTTGACCTTCAGGAGGCAAAAGGGAAAGCAATGCAAACTGCAACTGAGAGTACTTGGAGAATGAAGCAATGAAGCTTTCTTATCGCACAAGAGAGTGAGCGGGCCCTCCCTCTCTCTCTCTATACCTGGTCATTCACTAGACGATAAATGTCATGGGTAGTCGACGCCATTGCCACGACATTATGAGGCAGCGCGAAAGTTGCAATCGCAAAAGTGCAATGATTCGAGAGGAGTGCTTCAGAGAGCGAAATGGAAGAGTGTGAAGTAAAAGATAGTGGAGAGTCGGACATCGAGAAAATATAGCGCTTAATGAAAGAATAAGAAGGGCTGGCAATGAATGGTTGTGTAACCGTTGAGCGTAAGCAGTAACGCATGCCAAATGCGTTCTAAATGGCACATCAACCTTGACGTTGCTGCTATTTGTATAGCTTTTTATAAGCATACATAAATACGTACATTTGTAGACTTGTATGTACGCTATATAGTATCTCAATCGGACAAGCCGCAGCTGCGGTTGCTTCATCACGTAAACCGCTCTAAAGCTTAGACACTGGGGGCTCTGGGCAGGCAGGCCATACGCAAACATCAGCCCCGCCACTGCGCAGTGACCTAAAAGCGACCAGCAGCAGCGGCGCAGCCGCAGATGACGACGAAAACCGCGCTCGCGGCGTTATAATCAAATGTACAGTTATAGAAAATTATAAGCCAAGCCAACGACAACGACAAAGAAGTTGAAGCGAAACCACACAGAAGAAGAAGAGTGGGGAGAGTAAAATCGCTAAGTGTAGTCGTAGTCGTCGGCGATTCTGTTAATGTAAAGGAGCGGGTGGTTAGCCACGGAGGGCGCGGGGCGGTGCGCGGTTGTAATTTACCGCTATCACTATGAGCACGCAGCTTTAAATCTCTCCCAAGCACACTCACATGGCAGAACATTACGCTTTCTACACACACGATCACAAAGAAAAAGGAACCACAAAAGATATGAGAAATCTGTGAAGAGAGAACAACAAAACGCGTTTTGTTTACGAAATGTGTGGGGAGAGGGCACACCGATGAAAACAGGAACGGCAACAAAATAATATACTCATAAATATTTATATGGGAAGAAGCGAGTTTCAGCATACATAATTTGTATACATACATACATATCTGCATGAGTATGCGTGTAAGCTTTCGAAGAATCTCGGGCCTTAATGGGGCGGGGCGTGGTAAAAATCCCAAGCAAAACAAAAAGCACAAAACAAAGCGTTTCTAACTGTGAAGTACAGTGGTGGCCAAAACATGTCGGACAAGATGTGTATTGTGCGAGAACAAGAGCTTGCGAGCGCGCTGAAGATAACAGAACTTGTCTAATTGAATGAGACTCTTCTCTGGACCTGCCACAAATGCTGCCTACTGAGCGCTGCTGTACTTACGCGATCAGAGCGAGATGGAGCTTGTATGTGCGTGACCTTCACGACAAGTTTTGAAAAACAACATCCACCACAACATGCGTGCGCTCGTAGTACTACGCAGACAAGCGCACGCACACACTCCCAGCTCGCTTATCAGGCGGAGAACCACTAAAAATAAACATGAAAATACAAATTCGCGCCAAAACGCAAAAAACACCAACAGCATTCACCGTGCTACTCAGCTCCTCGTGCGCCGATACAAACAAAACAAGAAGTAGTGTGAAGAAGTGGAATAGACACTTTGTATATGATCCAAATTTTAAATTTTATGAAACGCTTCAGATTCTACTTCAGCTCTAAGATGTAGGGAATGCTTCATTTTTCGAATTACAAATTGAGGGCCGACTTAAAACACCTCCTTCGCTCTCTCAACGAATGAGAGATACAAAGGCGAGCAAAGAGACAGAGAGAGATAGAGAGAGAGAGAGAGAGAGCAGCCTGATTGTCTATACGCGCGCGCGAGAATGTGTGTGTGAGTGGGCTGACGTCGTATGACGACGCCGTTGAGATTGCGTTTGTCGTTGTGGGTGCGGCCGCCAACAACAAAAAGAACAACAACAACTACAACTTATGTACAGTCGCTCGCTCGTCTCTTGGCAGGCGTGTGCCAAGAAGTTGTTGTTTTTCTTCAGCATGCACACATATGCATTTATGCACATGCACAACATCGGCAGCAATAAGGCGTTGGCGCTGATTTTAATTTAATTGAGGCCTCTCAATTAATTGCTCTGCAACAGCAGCAGCTGCACTCCCTGACGCAATCACCATCACCGTCGTCGTTGTCCGCAGAGAGATTATGGGATGGGATGCAGAATCTAAAAAAATATCTTTTTGGCGCGCAGAACGAAACGGGATTGTTATTCAACAGTTTATTCCCCCATACGTACAGTCAGCTCGGTGTGTTTGTTTTCGCCAAGACAAACTGGCGACAGAAATCAGCGCAGGGCGGCGCTTTTTTTCGATTATTCCTTTGTCTGATTGCACTCTTCTCAGATATCAATGGAAACAGACGGTATATAGCGAAGGTATTTTTTTGCTTAACAGTCAATGTGTTCAGACCTTGACCAACGGAATTGATAACAGGCCATAGACCGCGCCAGCGACAGCCAACAAAAGCAAAATGTGATTCAGTTTCATACCTTTGCGTGAAAAGAAGTTAAGAATACGGACTGTTGGGGACGAAAACAAATGACTATCAAAACAAAAACGTAAAAAAACACCAACACGAAAAGCGAAATGAGCGCGAAACGAATGCAAAAGTTAACACTATTAAGAGATTGATGAATGGAGAGACGCTGGAGGGAGAGAGAGCCCTTCGGCAAAGCTCAAATAACACTACAGTGTGTACACAGTTGGGGTAAACAGTCAGTTATACTGATTAGTAGGGTTATATTACAGCAGTGGCCACTAATTAGTAATGCGCAGAACTACCAATCAAATAATCCGAAAGTATCTAAAAATCCAATTTCGAAAAAGAAGATAGTGTAGATATTTTATTTACATTTGTTTATTCAGACTTTCTGTTTCCCGATTAGAAACGCCGACGAAAACGAATTTAATTTCTAAGCGGACACTGCCGCATCTCGAGTTCCAGTTCCACAGGAACCGGGAACCGTAAATAAACAGTAACAATAAGAAACAAAAATACGAACGAAATGGAAGCAAAAGAGGAGAATGACAAAACTATCAAAAAAATCTCACACAAGGGTGGTTTCCTCATGGAAATTAGGGGTTGACTGCCAGGCAAAGCGAGTAAGAGAAGAACCCGTAAATAAACGCAACGAAAAGGGAAGCGAAAATCAGGTGCCAGTTGAAGGAACTCGAACTCAATTCCTACGATATGTCCTACGAATCTCACCTTTAATCCCTTGAGGACTCCGTCCGTACGGCTTCTGCGGCCTCGATCTGATGATCAGCTTGGCGGTGGCTGCAATCTGGCTGGGCGTCAGTGCCACCCCCGCTGGAAATGGCTCCTCCAAGCGCGTCGCCTGCCACCCGGATTGCTGCCTCTGCGCCCTGTTTAGCTCCTGCTCCAGCTTCTCATCGGCCAGAATATCCAAGCCGTATTTGTGTAGGGCGCGGCTGACGCTGTTTTCATTTACGCAGGCCAGCAACTCGTTGGTGGAGACGGCAACCTTATCCCGATCGGTGTTGAAAAGATTACGGCGGGCCTTACCGGCCACGGTCAACGGGGTGGGTCGACGCGGCTCAGCAGACGCCAGCGGCAGCCATACCGGGGGCACCTGAATGGGCGCCATCGTGCACTTTGCTATGTTCCTATTTTTTTCACTTTAGTTGGTTCCCCCCTCTTTCGCCTGTTTGCTTTGCAGTACTTTCTGTATCGCTTTCTGCTTTCACTTGAACTTTTCTTTGCACTAATTTTGTTGTACTTTTCTCCTCTGGCACATTTCTGACAGCGGAACGAGTGAGAAAATCAGCTGGTCGAGAAGTCACGTACCCTGCTGGAGAGCATTTTTTGCGAAATTGCAACAACGGCTGTTTTAATTGATTTTCTATTGGCACTTGTCTTATGGATTTGAATTTATTTTTTGGCTACACTGCTTATATTTTTGTTTAGAATTTGATGCGAAACTCGTCACTAATCGCTAATCGGCCAGTTCATACAGTACTTTCACGTACACCAGGCAATTGTTTTTCACGAAACTCAATTTTGGTCTCAAGTTTGTTGACCAAACTACGCATCAATTGCCAAACACAAACGGCGTGCATCTACGTGCATTGCGCACTTTTCAGCTTTTATAGTGTCAATCACGCGCAAGCAACAACCGCCTGGTTCAAATATTTTTTTAATTTTGAAATTTGTACACTATTTTTCCGTTTTCATTCACGATTTTTTTCTTTTTGTTTTGTCCTCTCCTCTGTTTTGCCAGGGGGTTTATGAGAGCGAGTGCTCATAACTGCGTACAAATTAGAGAGGGACCTATTTTTCCGTTTTGATTCTCGATTTTCCGGTTCTTTCCCGCTCCACTTTCAGATGTTGCTCGGCCATAATTTCATGTTGCTGGAAAAGCAACAAGGTACGGACAGCCGGTAAAACGGCACAGAAAGCTTAGCGCCTGAAAGGTTAAATCCACCCCAGTCGCTAACATTCCCTGAAATGTTGCTGGTAGTTCGTACTCATGCTGCTTGTAAACCTGTCACACTATTGTCGACTTCGTACACTCTATCTTTGCTTATATTTGCTTGTATACATTTGAATTGCATTGATTTGACTAATGGTTGCACACGAAATTTGGTTGACCATTTTCGACAACAGCAAAACGTTGCTAGAAATCCAAATGCTGCGTGCTGCCAAGGCTCCACCTTGTTGCAATATACCATGGATGTCTCTCTCCTTCTCACCGTTGCGTTGATAGTGCTCATTCTCTAAAAAAAACTTTCTCTCATTGGCAAAAGCTTTAAGAAATTTTCATTCGATTTTATTGAATGACGTCATGAGTGAATAACAATGAGCGCCTTATCACGGGCGTCACATATGTATGTATGTTACCTTACAAAGGATGTAAAAAACTATTGAAAGTGAATTTCCACTTGAATGGTATGGGAATGTAAACCTAATCATATATGCCAATATAAATTGATATATACTTGTCTGCTTGATCGCTGTTTTAAAATGTTAATGGGTTTATGCAGTTTTGCGCCTATATTCAAGGGCAGTGACATGCGACATTAACCAGCCTAATGGCCAGGCATGGCCAGAAGCAAAACACACTATTTAAAAGAAAACAGAAAAATAAACTAGAAACACTTTCGTTGGAGCGTAGCAACAAAACAACAGTTAGCAACGAAAGTGAAAACAGTTGAAAAACCACATAGAAATTGTTTTAATGACCATACATACATATGTAGATATGTATGTAAATCGGATACATAGGTGGGACTGGCAGTGTAAATAGCGGATCTTTGTGGGATGAACGTTTGTAGTTTTAATAATGCTGACTCATCAGTTTGGCAGCAGCCCAGCAGCTGGAATTTGGTGGCCAGGCTGTAGCCCCCTCCTCGTCTTCCTTTCGCTTTGACCGCGCCTATTAGTCATTTTCAAGTGTGGCTCAGACAAAGGATTTATCATCATACACATTTCTTTTTGGCGCGATTTCCAAATTGGGAACGGAGGGAGTGTGGCAAGTACCTGCCTGACCGATGAACAAGGGTTCAGGGGTTGAGATTTAGGCACAGGTCGCAGAATGCAAAAATCAACCCTCGCGCCAAAAAAAAAGAATAAAATACGCACACACATTGGAGGGAATGAATGTGTGAAAGTTGCAGGATCCACTCCCTTTTTAACGTTAACCCCTGACGATTGACGACAGCCGCTGCGTCATTTCTCCGAAATGCGTTTCAGCTTTGCACTGAACTGATTTGAATGCAGGGCTACACACACATACATACATGTGTGTATTTTTATCTGCTCTATGTACGTGTTTGGGTCTACTGATGGCTACTTTTCGCCGACACTTCCGCTTGTCAATGGAAAAACTCAAGCTGTTTTCGGGTCTGGGCTGTGGACTTCTACTTTGCACGAAATTAGTGCATTGCCCACGTACTAAGACGTGACGTAAGCGGAAGAACGGAACTCTTCGCTCTCTTGTAAAAGGAACTGTCGCACGCGCTGGTCATGCGGTTAAATGATGCAGTTAATGTTAATGGGAGAGCGAGCGCAGGAGTGGGAGAGTATTGTATATGAAGAACAGCAAAATCTCTTTCTGGAACCACCATTTGTTTTTGTTGCTATCAAGTGAGAGTTAAAGAGTTTGAGGAGGGTAGTAGTCGTGGCTGACGTCACGTGCCTCTAATTAATAAATGAGCTCATTAAAGAATTCATTCTCTCTCTCTCTCTCTCTCTCTCTCTCTGTCTGCATTCGCTCTTTGTCAGCTGGTCTCTGATCTCTGCGTTCGACTGTGTGGGTGTGTGCAACGTGCAATTGTGTGTGAATTATGTTTTGGGCCGCGTGCAATTCCCCCAGTTCTAGGGTCGCCTGCAGCTATTTTTAGTGCGTGTGCGCGTGGGGTGGGGGGTGTTTGTGTTTGTGTTTCGCCCTCGTCTTTGACATGCATCATAAATTCTGCCTCGCACCCCCCTACACAGACACACAGATGCAACCTGCCCCCATGTCATCCGCCTCCCCTGCTTTTTCTCTGTCCCACTCTGCTTCTCTACCTTTGCTGCGCCTTTTTTCTTATTTCATTTTTTGAGGCATCTGTAAATTTGCGCCAATTTCTGCGGCTGCTGCTGCTGCTGTTGCCCTCATCATCATCATCTCAGACAAAGACAGAAATACAGATATACAGTGAGAGAGTAAGAGAGAGAGAGAGAGAGAGAGAGAGCGTGAATACCTGCTGCTAGTAATTTTGAGCAAAAATGTATTTTGCGCCAAAAACCAAAACCTGAATCTGAGAGCCCGGTGCACGATACACGCGGTGCATGGTGCCATGGCCCGGTGCCCGGTGGCACTCTCTTCCCGTTTCCGCACTTGAAATACATCCACACCACGCACATCCTCGGCCCCCTGCATACCCTGCATTGGGACATCTTGTTGAGCTGCTGCTCAAGCTGGAATGGAACAAGTGCTTTGCTTTTTTTTTTTCGTTCCCTTCTTTCAGGTTTCACTTCTTGAGCTGCAGGAGGGAGGGAGCGGAGACGGCTCAAGCAGAGAATTCTCGTTTTTGAGCCGCCAAAAGTAACATCTGCTCCCCAAAAACCATAGACATGGGCCCATCCAGGGAATTGTCGTTGTTTTCGTGTTTGGGTTTCCTTCTTTTTTGGCATTTGCTTTTTTTGGCAGGGGAAAGGGTTAAGGGTATGAGGATTGTGTCAGGGAGTTTGGATTGAAAGGGATAGAACTAAACCACAGAGTCAGCAATCAAGACGCCTTGGGGATAGGATTACATGTTTCCGGATAAAGATTGCGAAAATCAATCTTAATTGGTGGCATTGTCTTGTTTGTTTTGTTCCTAACTGAAATATTGAAATGAAATTACACTTATTATTTTATTACTTAAACATAAGAAATTATTCAGCGACGATTGATAAGGTCCGAAGTGCCCATTAAGGTACTCTACAATCTCTCGTTCTGTTCTGCAAGCGCATTTGAACTTTGACTTTTCCTATCTTCGTTTGCCGTTTGCCGTCTGCCGTTTGCCCTTGGCCGGGTCCGCTCACAGTCTCACCCCTAGTCCCCTGGCTGTCCCGCCGACTGCTAATTTGCTTCATTTATCTTTCCAGCCTTCGGACAACACTGAAACCCAATGTCTCCTGTGTGAGTGGCAGCAATACAATTACTCTACGTGACTCTGAGGGGCCTTAATTGCAGCAGCACACTGCCTCTGCCTATGCCTCTGCCTCTGGTTCTGTTTCTGGTTGGAAGACTCTCTCTTTGCTGGCCTCATAAATCTCACGCGCCTCCGATTGCGGAAAGTGTCCCGTTGTCTGCATTGGGCTGCGCAGCATAGATAAGAGCCGAAATCACCGCAATTAGCCATCGTCGTAATAGAGGCTACTCCGATATCTGAGGTCTCTAGGGGGAATATATGTACTCTTTCTCCCAGGGAGTCCGGCAGCAGCGGCAGCAGCTGGCTGGTTTCGTGTGACCCACAAGGCAAAGATCTGTTGACCAGTGTCCAAGCTCATAATTCAAAGCAGGAGAAGGTGAGGATGAGGCTGAGACTGGGGCTGATGGGAGGGTTGGGATAACAAATCGCATGTGTGAATTATGTCCAAAGTGGGTCGCGGTCGCGGTCGCGGGCATAAATCAAATGTGCGGACCGGACTCCTCCAGTGGGTCACCTTTGGCTATGCCTCGATGGCCATTGCATGCGGCACGCCAAGTTGCAAGATTTCCCGATGTCCGTTGCCACCTCGAAGACACGATTCGACGTGACTTGACCCACTTGTGTAGTTCTTGCTGGGTGTGCTTCTCGGGCCGTTATTTTTCACACCGAAACTGGTTAAGAAATGCGAAAAAACCAGCGACAATTGTCGCTGCCACAAATGGAGGGGAGATAACGAGTGGAGTGGGTTAGAGTGGAGTCCGGGGCAGTCACTTGGAAAATGCCAAACAAAGGAGTCCGACTGTGATACACCAGCATTATAATTGATCGCTGAGAGCTGAGAGCTGAAGCTGAAGCTGAAGCCGCTTTCCAACTGGTTTTCCCACTCCACTCCCCCCACCCTTGACGGTTTTTCCTTAATTTCCTACATTTTATCCAGTTTTTATTGCCCTCGTCTTGGGCCGTTTTCCCATTGTCTAAGATTTGTGCCTCTTTTCTTCTCGCTTCTCTTTGAATTTTTTACCATTTCCCTCTCGCACAATTCCACTCAGACAAAAGAGTTTCGTAAGCTGAAAGTTTTCTTTCCCCTATTGAGGTTGCGTTGGAATGAGTTATGTATGACGACCGACCCCGCCCGGGCCGATCTTTTCTTTTGCTGGTGGTGGCTGGCTGCTCTGTGGCTGCATTTCATATGCATTTCAGATCAGATCCCCCCAGACAAGCTCAGAGGGATGCCGAGGTGGGGCGGGGAAATGTGAATGGACTCTATTAATGAAATGCGATATGCGGTGCATGAAAAATCAAATGAGTTCCCTCCCTGCCGGGTCTCAGTTTCGAGCGCTGGTCCTGGTCTGGTCATTTCAGTCCGCCTGTCTGTCAGTGTACCCGATGTTGATGTTGATGTTGATGTATCTGTATCTCTGTGTAGCTGAGTATCTCGCGGTGCGCTAAGCTGACAGCATCTGGTCAAGATGGTCAGACGTTCCGCCAAGCGAAACTATTTCTGGCATATTACATTTCTCGTACAATTTACATGGGATTGCGTTTGATGGGCCGACGGCGCACGCGCCCTATACCGAGAGTGTGGCCAGCTGCCCAAATATTTCGCCCTCGACTGTCAAGCAAGTCGCTTAGATACATGCATATCTCCCCTTCCAATTTACAGCTGCATTCAGCCTGTTCACTGTCCCCCCCACTCCCCACTCCCACATCTAATTCAGCCACACCACTCACACCACTCTCTTCCCGTTGGCTCTCCCACTGTTGGCTGCTCCCTGTTTCCATGGCAGGGCCCTTTGTCTGTCGGCGGCTGGCAGCAGGCAGCATTTTTGTTTATTTTTATCGGCTGCTATTTCAGTTTGCTTTTCCTCTTGAATTTTCATTAACTTTTTCTTTGTTTTATTCCGTGTGGTTGCTTGTCGCATGCCGCCACGCCCCTCCGAGTCTGATGTCATTTGCATTACGGTAAACCAATGCACATGCACACATGCTGCGTACATGCATACATATGTGTGTGTGCGAGTGTCTGCTTGCCTGAATGAAAATAACAAAAGGAATAAGAAAATGAGTATTGAAAGCAACTAAGAACAAACTAAAATACAAAGTAAAAGAGGGAGCAATCATGTTCTTTGGTTATCAGTATTATAAACTGCCAGCAATGTGGACACAAAGATGAAATTAGTCAAGAAAAATGTATCCACGAGTATCTACAAATCACAATTTTGTGAGCCTGGAAAAGTTCAAATGAGCAATTAACAGATTTGAATATATAAATACAAATACATACATACGAGTATAGCACAAATATCAAATTGCATGCAATTCAAGTGGCTGTTGACATGTTTGTTTTGTATTCGTATTACATCCCATAATCGCATAGTGACAATTCGACGTTGATACTTATGTTGCCAAGCAGAAAATGATACACACCAGCCATATCAGACTTTTCATAAACTTTAAAGTGCAGCTGTATGGATATCTGCTCACATATCTATTTCGATTATTTATAGACCTGCAGAGATATTTCAATTAACAGAGTCATTATGCAATTCATTGAATCGTATCCCGAGTTCAATGATTGCCCTAGTTAACTGGACATATGGCCCCGCATATACCATCCATGTTCAACCCATTGAGAACTCGAGAACGTGCGCTATGTATGTATGTATATACATATGTATGTGAATATGTTTGTATATCCCGACGACTACTGGGCGTAATGATATGATGGGGCAGCCGACCGGCTTCGAGTGCCTAAGGGGGTCGGTCTGTTTGTCTGTCTGTCCGTGCTCTCACTCGCTAATCGACTGATTTTTCTTCCGTTAAGTGGTGTTAAGTGCTACCACAACGAAAACCAAGTCAAACACAAATTGTCTTTATATTAATGAGTTTGAATTTCAGTGCGTGGCGCTCTCCACACCGTTCGCATAATTAACCAGATGCCGGAGCATTGACGGATCATTGGTTTTCGCTGATCTTTGCATTTCGGGTGATTCCGAATTTTCAATTTCCGCTGGCAGTATAAGCATAAATGACATTCAATGTCCTTTCTCACGGAACATTAGCAGCTGATGACGTGATCTCCAATTATGCGGGCTCTGCGGTAATGCTCCTCCCCTTGGCCTGTCGATATTCAATCGCACTTATAATTTTATTTTCTTTTGAATTTGCTGTGGTCTTGATTAATCTATGGGGGCGACGGTGATTGATCCAATGGGGACTTGTGACAAATGCAATTTATATTTCCTACTCTCTCAACGAATCGGAAAGATCGGGACACCATACTAGACAGCCGCAATATTTGCTGTATTTTATATAAACTTCGGATTTGATATCGTTTTACATTCTACTATATTACATTTTAATGGTATATTAAATAATATAGGGTATCGAAACTCCCATCCGAATGTTTTTTCAATTTTCCTTTTGGGGAACTCCCGCAACATGGGAATTTTCTTTGCAGCAATGTGGCTTAAATCCGTTCTCACTTACATTTACCGTTGGCAACACAAATTTGTATGGGAGAGCAGCATGCAGCGGAAAGTGAGCCATCTCAACGAACGAAATGTGGCAGGTAACAGTTACTGAAATAAAAACTAAAATTTTCATTTTAAAACGCAATTTTAACATAAAATTAAACAAAGATACATAGACCCATACAGGTAAAAAAGGACGAACTTTTCGAGGCTCTCACCTATTTCGCACCTGTTTAAACGATCCCTAATAGTGCCTGCTAAAGATAGAAGAACTGTCTCTAAAGCACTCCGAGCTTATAATATATACTTATGTTCCCTTATCGCCCAACGCTTTGTGCAATTTTCAGAAAAACAATAGCATTTATTTTCCTCTTTTGTTCCGCGCGCTTTCACCAATTGTAAAAGATATCAGTTAACATATGTACATGTGTCTCTGTTATTAATTTACATACATTTACATACTGAAGACAAAGCTCCCTTGCTTCCAGAGGGGGTGATTTGAATGAAAAATTCAAATGAAAAGTTGTAAAATATAAGCTCATAGGTATACAATCATATAAAAGGAAGTACCTATAATAAGCAAAATTGATTCGTCAATCGGATTAAATTATTGTTTCATTGGTGAAAGTCTTTGCAAGCTAGTAATATCAAATATAACATCAAAATCGAGGAATCTGATCTAAAACTACTGTATATTTACGGTATATTTTGAAGATGCAATGGTATATTATGGTATATTTACGAGGCCTGAAGGTATATTTCATCGATAATTTCGCGGTCACACTCCAGAGTGGATAAATAAATAATAAATAAATACAATTTAAGCCTGAAAATGCGGCGCCGCGTGGGACTGGGGGCTATTCAACAGCAAAAACTAGCCGCCGAAAAGTACAAGGACAAAGGAACAGACCTGCAGGAATCACAGCTGGAGCAAATGACGAAGCAAATGGACGTGTTGCGCAGCAAGCTGGAGGAATTTGCAATGAAACACAAGGAAGACATACGGAAGAACTCGCAGTTTCGCAAGCAATTCCAGGAAATGTGCGCTGCCATTGGAGTCGACCCGCTGGCCACGGGCAAGGGCTTCTGGAGCGTCCTGGGCATGGGCGACTTCTACTACGAGTTGGGTGTTCAAGTGGTCGAGGTGTGCCTGGCGGCCAACCACAAGACGGGCGGTCTGATGGAGCTAGACGAGCTGCGGCGGCGTCTGGTAGCGGCTCGTGGCCAGAGCGCAGTGCACCAGGAGATCACCAAAGAGGACATCCTAATGGCAGCCAAAAAGCTGAGCATATTCGGAAATGGGTAAGTCCACACTGAGACCCATACTGCAGCGCTGCTAACTTTTGATTCTACTTTCAGTTTTGTTGTGCACAAGCTGGGCAAGGGCAAGTACATCGTTCAGTCCATTCCCGGGGAGCTGAGCATGGAGGAAACGAACATCTTAAATGCGGCATCCAACACCGAACAAGGCTGCGTCACACAATCTCAGCTAATGCAGGACTTGGGGCAAGTTTTGGCTCACTAACAAAAATAAGTAAATTTTAATTATTTTCCTAATGCTGCAGCTGGACGGACTACCGTGCTAGGCAATCTCTGGACAAGGTCCTAGGCGAGGGCCTCTGCTGGATAGACAGACAAGCGGAGGAGGAGCCTGTCTATTGGTTCCCCAGCTTGTTTCCCGGTCGCAATGCTCAGGCTACAGCCTGAAACCACTAGTATTTATGCAATAACTTATAAAAAATATATTTATATATTTGTACAACTTGTAAAGCGTTCTAGTGCCTGCTAAATGGTGTTCCCTCTGCCGCCTTCACCCTTTAAAATTTGTATTTCGGCCTTCAGCTCCGAGTTCATATCCATGAGTCGTCGCACTTCGGCCTGAAACCTTATCGTTAGATCCTTGACAGTCTCCTTGTACTCTGCGGTTTTGTGTCTGTGGTGCTCCATGTAGTCCTTCAGTCGACTCTCGTTGATTCTTCTGCGGATCACAAATAAGTTAAAGCAATGTTAAGGAAACAGTGTTTTATTTTAGTCTTACAGCTCGGAAGATTTCTGCTTTTGGTCGATGTCTTTCAGCTCGCTCAGCCGACCGCGGGTGTCCTCCAGCTCAGCATCGATTTTGTCATACTGATCGACAACCTCATTGTACTTTTTCTCCAATCGATTGTAGCGTGTCTGCAGCGCTTGCATATCCGCCATGTGCTCTGCCTTATCCTGTTTGAGCTGTAATCGAACCGTAAGAATGAGATTAAGGAACCAAAACGTGAGGAACTGTTGTGCCGCCAACCTTCTCGCGCTGCATGGACCTTAACGTGGCCACCTCGATGTCCACACGTTTGCCTTCCTCCTGCAGAATGACACCCAGGTTGCTGGCCAGCTGGGTCATCTCTTCTTTGATGGCTTCGGAACGTTTCTCCGCCTCGGCCTTTTCCCGTACCGCCGACTCGCTCAAACTGAGGGCTTCTTGTACCTTTTTCATGGCCGCATTCTCCCGCTTGTTGCTCTCCCTGAGCAGCTGTTGAGTGTGCTGCAGGCGCTGCTCGTAGTCATTGAGCTGCTTCTTCAAGTTGGAAATTTCCGTTGAGTTTTCGTTTATGGTGACCGAACAGAGTTCATTCTTCTGTAGCTTCGCCTGCATCTCCTCGATCTGCATGCCGTTGCGCTGCTTATGCTCGTGCAGAATTTTGATCATCTCTCCCTGTGTGAGTAGATCCTCCTTTTGCCTGGCAATCTTTTCTTCCAGCATTTTAATAGCTTTCGCGTACTTCTTGATGATCTAGAAAGTTGGTAGATAGAATAAGATAGAATTCTTCTGCTCAGCCGTTCACGAACCTGGTCCTCGCCTGGCTCGTTCAGCTGCCTCCTGTAGTTCTTCAGCTCCTGCTCCATGTTATCGATGGTACGCTGTGAGCACTCCTGAATACTCTTCAGGCTGCACCGCTCCTTGCGCAGTAAATCGATCTGTTTCAAAGCATTGGCCAAGGCTTCTTCGGTCATTTGACTTCGTTGCTGGATCTCCTCAACACCGCCAGTCTTTCTTGTATCAGCCAGCTTGTGTCTGCCCAACTCCTGGCGGAGCTGCAGGTTTTCCGCCACCACTTCGCCCACGTTGTCCATCAGGTGTTTCACCTGCTCGCGAAACTTTGCCAAGTCCTCGTTGGTATTGCCCATTAAACGCTCTACATCCTTGCTAATATCAAAGACGCCGCTGCACAATATGTAAAAAATCGAAATTTTTATTGGACTTTCTGTGTGACCAGCTTCCGCTTACCTGGGCAGCTTAAAATCGTTCGGCCCCTGTGTCATTTCGACTTGATCCGGAATATATTACGTTCTAAAATTTATGCGACTGTGTGAATTTTGATAAATATATTTGTCATTATTTGACGGCTTGCCTCTGGGAAAACAGGTACAAATTGACACGCATTGGCACGAGCCACGGCACTGGCGCTGAACCATCCCTGCCTGGCTGGCCGTTCTGTTGTGACCAACGTCCTGTGACGCCAGTGGCCAGGTGTCGGTTGTCCGTGGCAACAGCACGAGTAAATGAGTTGGTTAACTATTCATTTCATTTCAGTTTAACTCTGTGATGCCGCTGTTCAACAAAAAGTTCGAGTCAAAGCCCATACCGGCGCGTCAGAGTCGCTGCAACATTGGGATTCCTGCTATTGCCGAGGATCTTGATGATTTCCGCCAGATTTCGCTGAATCTGGGCCACAAGGAGCTGCGCTTTGCCGATGGCATCTGGATGCACTCGTCGCGCAAGGGCGATGTGGACGAAATGCTGCGGCTGAAAAAGAAGTTCCGTGTCCTCGAAGAGGAGAACAATATGTCAAATTTGAAGATGGAATGTATGCTGGATCTGCTGGCGGAACAGGCATCGGAATTAAAAGAGCTAAAGCCACAGGAAAAGAATAAATTTGAAAATTTAAAGAAATAATAAAATGCAGTTGGAAAGTCGTAACAGACTTAACAGTGATGTACATCAGCGTTAACAGTGGCATTGCAGTCGGAATTCAATGGCAGACTGCTATTACAATGGTTTCAAAACTGCATTTTAACAGTGCCTTTGCAGTCCAGCTTGTATAGTCTCCATGGCCAGCTTGTACAGTGTCTTAAAAGCTAGAATTAGCACTGTCATACATACACGTTAACGTTTAACACGTTACGTTTCATAGCCATCAGCTTCTAGGTAATACTTTAACATAGCTTTAATCTCCCTCTTTATTTTGACCAGTACTCCTTTAGTAATCAGACATTGTACAATGTTCTACATGTTATGTTCACTAAGCTTCACCTAAAGTCACCTGATTGTGATAAAATCACAACCACATACTTGAGATCTATTTATAATACTTCTTCATACAGTTTCAATGGCTATTGCATAGGGGGGGGAGAGATATCAAATGTTCTGTTTTGGAAACTAGGGGCTTTTGTTGACTAGACCATTGGGCATTAATTTGGGATTTGTCGCGCGAGCGAACGTTCGATGAATGGAGCTGGTCAAATTGGTGGCATTGTTGTCGCCATTGGCAGCAATCTATAGACGCCATCGGTTCGGTGCGGTTCGCTTCGGTTTGACTTGCCGTCAGGCTGCCGCTTGGCTCCCGCTCTATTTATTGTGCGTTGATAAGCTGCTCTGATAAGTACCAATGGCAATCGAACGGACCGCAGTTCGTGCACGGTGGCCGATATGATAAACCTTCTGATGAGCCCACAAGAGCTATATAAATATCCGACGGATGGGCAAATGGGAAATTTACATGGCACCCCCCAGCCCAGCCCACTCCGGGAATCTTCTACTGCGGTTCGGGTTCGATGGGGTTAGACAAATTTGGGGCTTCTCACTAGCGCGATAAAGCTTAACGGCTCTGCCGCAGTCTAATCTCTTCCCCAACGAATGCGGCTGCGGGTTCGCTTATGTGTGTGTATGAGTGTGTGTGTACATAGGTGGTGTGGCCATAGCCCATATCGGTGCACTCCATCGACTACTGTATATTTACGCATTGATATTGATATGCGATAAGCAAAACTGCTTATAAAACACATTTATTTTGTTGTTCCCATAGCCCATAGCCCATAGACCACTTGCACTGTATCAATGCCAAACGGTAACGAAGGCAGACGATCGCCTCGCCTCGCCTCGCCTCGCCACCCGAGGGGTAACACTTGTTCGATTCGTGTATTACAGTAGTTTGTTAATAGCCAGCCACACGTACGGACGCGCACGGGAATACGGAAAACAAAACGATCGTCGGGGAGATCGATTATTTACCGACAATAACAATAACAATTGCCACAGGAGGAGCCAGCAAATACCAACAACAAATTGACGGAAAACATACATTTGCGCGGTGTCAGCAGAAGATCTCGGGCAACGATACGCAAAAATTCGCCAACGTCTCAAAGGCCAATTGAAGTTTGTGTGGCATTAGGTAACCAGAGACGCGAATAGTTCTATAATAGTTCTATAAAAAAAAGGAAAAAAAAATATAGAGAAGAAACAGCCATATCAGCAGTACGCCCTCCACTTTGACGTACTTCACTCAAGTATGAAGCCATTGTGTCAGTTGGCCATCCGCTGATGATTGTGTGCGGAGCTTTGTCTACAGTGAGTGCTAAATTTGTTTTATTTTGATTCAACTTGTGCTTGTTTTCCGCCCGTAAACAAATTGTCTATTAAGCAATCAACTTTTCACCTAATAAATGATATCGTATAAATCAATTGAGTCGAGTGCCAATCAAGTGGGAGCAACACAGATAAATCTCCATCACAATGGGCTTCGATCGCTGATCGGGCGGGATCGATCTCCGCGATTTTGTGGAAAAACCACACGAAAAGCATAAACAAAACGCCCATCGAATCAAATGTGTTTTATGGGCTCTCCAGCTAAAGTGATTCGGGAATGATTTGTCCGTGACATTCCACTTAAATTCAACTCACCAAAGTGTACTCTCTGCGTCTCTACATGAATGTATTATTTATTCCATTAGAATTCTGTGGGCGTTTGTTGGTTGGTGATCCAAGAACTACTTGAATTGCTGCGGGAATATTTTCCTCATTCTTACGGGGTTACAACGGCGCTTCCATGCGCTTTTTAGACCCTTTTTTGTGCCCCAAAAGTTCGTTTGGTAGCCCAAGCCAAGAATTGATAAACGAGCATTATCGCTGCTGGCAATGATTTATAGTTGCATAAATGGCACTCACTATTTATTTATTAATAAAATGGAAAGCAAAATTTCTGATAATTTATATACAAAGAGCCAAGGATGTGTGTGTGTGTGTAGGTGTGTGTGCACAAGTGCTTGAGAGCCAATGTGGAGCACCCGCAACCCCTTCGCCAGAAATGGCCAAGTAAATAAACAAAAGGAAATTTTTACACTCATCGTCGACAGCGCACAATAAAATGTGTGAAAAATATGTTCGAGCCAGTGGAAAATGCAGACAAATAAATAAATAAATAGAAATTTCGTAGAGTGTCGAGTGTTTGCTGAGAAATTAAATAAAAATCGATCACTCGCTGGAAATAAATATTCTCCCATTACAGGCCACAAAGCTAACCAATCAATGTGTCGTCTGGTGGCTGGCAATGTCTCGGATATGCTGACTGGAAATGGATCCGATGATTAGACGACAGAGATGCCAGCTGTGGTCTAGCCACACTCGATTTTTGATACTACTTTACATCTGTGGCTTGCAACAAGCTCAGGGATACTTTGTGGATTACACAGGTAAGTTGACCATTTGTAAGCGGACTAGAACACAGTTTCAAATGGAATTCATTTATCTTAGATCGATTTGTGCTCTGGCGAAGCACTTAAAAGTCGGTTAGCATTGCTGTTGCTTTTATTCCTGGTAGTTTCTATATACAAAATTGAAATTTAACCCATCGATCTGTAACCGACCAACAGCTAAACTCTTTGCAGTTGCACGTTTCCGTTTTCATTCCACAAAAAGGCTTGGATTATTAATCGTTTTCTTTTTTGAGAGAGAGAGAGAGAGAGAACGAACAGCATTTGATAAGATATCGTGCCGTGGCGCTGTTTCGCCTATCAATTGCTGTCAAAATGGTAAACAAACATTTTGGCATTGAATTGATTGGACTGTTTTCCCTTCCACTGCAGAGAACACAGAACTGATACAGCAGCGTGCCGGATACGATGTGAAGTTGCAGTGCAACCTGAAGGGTCTGCTGGACGAGAGCAAGTTGGCCGACATCCAAATACATTGGTACTTTAAGGTAGTCATTTACCTTGGACATCATAGCCACAGTCAAACAGATATCTGCCTTTACTGATTACTTATTCCCGCAGCAATGCAGCGACAACAATTGCTATCAGCCCGAGTCAGCCGATGACTGGACAGCCCTGCCCTGCGAACCAAGTCTATGCCGGCCGGAGCTCTGGCTGCGGAATGTTACAGATCGCTATTCTGGCCTCTACAAGTGCAGAATCAATCCGGATGTGTGGGACAAGGCGCAGTCAGTGGATGTGCAGCTGGTGCGCACCTACCAGCTGGATGTAAAGAGTAAGAAATCATCTCCGCCATCCATCTTGGGTAGTTACAGCTCTCTATCGATTCTCTCTGCTTTCGTTAGACACTTCACTGGCTGCTCCCGAGTTCATGGATTCGTATCCCAGCAACAAGACCGTCCAGCTGGGCAGCCGCGTGGTGTTCCAGTGCAGAGTGCACAGCGAGGAGCATCCAACAATCAAATGGTTTAGGCGGCACACCTCTGTGGGTTCCCTGCCCTCCGCATCGCCTGCCTCCAATTTCAGTGCCCACATCGTTCGCTACAATGGACGCACCTATGAGCCGCTGTCCACGGGCTCGGAGATGCTGATCGCACCGCAGATCTATCTCAGCAAGCTGATCCTTGACGGCGTGCGACTGAGGGATGCCGGACACTATGCCTGCGCGGCCATCAGCTATCGCGGCCACAAGATCCGCGAGGCCTTTTTGGAGGTGCTGCCTGCAGAGGAGCTGGAGGAGGAGTACTGGAACGACTACGACAACAGCGATGAAGGTGTCCCTGGCAGTGATCCGCGCGAGTTCCTGCTGCTCTTCCTCATGCCCTTGGGCCTGGCTCTGCTGCCGCTGACCGTCTGGTGCAGTTATCTGGTGTACAAGCGCTGCTCGGGCCACGGGGACTGCCAGCGCATGAGCTCGGACGAGGAGCTCGACACGGAGCGATGTGTGCTGGGTGGCAACTGACCCACTGATCCGGGGCAAGCTGCTATACGCTTATTACGATTACGAGTGAAGACTGTCCATAGTTCTACGATTAGATTTCTAGATTAAATGTGCAAATTAAGTGTTTTCCTTACAACTTACATGGAGTTTTCTTTATGTAGATCAACTGGCCTGCGATTATAGCTTCACTTATGATCATTTAGTTCCCTGTTTATGTTTGATTATTATACTACTAAATAATATTACACACAGTTCAAAATTACAATTCAAATTATTTTCGTATGAAATTCAAAATTTGTCTCCTCTTTCCGAAGACCAAGAATAGATTTTGCGCTGCCCACTGATCCTTCAGTTCTCTGTGTGATTTGTTGTTCTTTCTTTGTGAGTGTTGCTTGCTGATTCCACCATCCAATGCTGATATCCAGTAGCCCTTTAGGTCTGGGCAAGCCACTCTGTAAGAGCAAGCAGCAAGCATGTCCGGTTTGAATCAGCACCTCCAGGACTACTACCTATTGCCGGGCACATATTCCTATCCATTGGCCACATCCGCCACACCAACGGTTAGCGCTTATTTGCCCAACTACGATGAGATGTCCTGGCTAGTGCCAGACAACAGCACGGCCACCTATGTGGCCACACCGCTCGGTGTGATCAACTATCTGTCCGATCTGCAGTCCCAAATGGCCTTTCCCACACCACAGAATCTGAGCAGCGGCCTCATCTATGCGGTTCTCAATCCGGTTCAGCAACATGTGGCTGTGGCTGTGGCTGTGCCTGTGCCTGTGCCAGTACCTGTACCAGTGCCGGTGCCAACGGTCTTTGCATACAGCCAGGAGCATCCAGTGGAGCAGATTCGGTATTATCAATTGATGTCCATGTCTGAGGAGGATAACTCCACAGACGACTCAACACAGCGCGTTGACAGATCCGAGGATCAAGAGGAATCGGAGCTCCAGCAGCCAGCAGCAGAGCAGGCGCCTGACAAACGCAAACGAATCTACCAGGCAGAGGAGGGCTATCTGGTGGAGGAGCCCCCCTCCTCCTCGGAGGAAGACCAGGACGGCAGCAAAGAGGACACGGCGTAGCTAAAGACGTCGACAAAATCGAACCTTTGCTTGTATATAATGTACCCTGGCAAGGCATTGTTTTATTCATATTTATAGTTGCAATTTAAAGGAGTGTTCCCATCATCTCGTGACCAAAAACATCCATCAAATATAGATTTCTCAACAAAATGTAGGGCATCAGCTAGTCGATTCAGCGCACTCTTCTCAGCTCTGCTTTACAGCTTTTCGAGCACCTAATTTAATTACTCGCACATGTCTGTCGCCGCCACGGCCCCCCGTTCTCTCAGCTCTGCTGGGGCTCGCTCTCTGTAGATTTGTGGAGCTGCCTGCTGTCAGCTGCTCAGTTGTTTTGGGGCTTTTGTTGCTGCCGGACGTTTGTTTGTTTTGATCGAGTGGCTGTGCTGGTGCTGCAAAAACACTTATAAAATAAACAAACAAAATATCTATTTTTAGTCTGCAAAACTGAAAGAGACGTGTAGGCGGTTTGCCGAGCGAGTGCAGCACGAGCAGCATAGTGCAGAACTAATCATGGTGCAGCTCGACTGCAAATCCCGACGGGGCACCAAAATCTCGGTCATCGTGCTGGGCAGCGCCCTGTGCTTTGTGATGATGGCATACTTTGTGTTTGGGGACAGCAACGACGAGCAGGGCTTGCGAAATCTACGCATGATCTCCATTGTGAGCTGCTCCAGCCGACAAATAACTTTATACTTTGGTGCTAACGCGTTCTCTCCTTCTCCCTCTCTGCACAGCTGTTTCGTCACGGCGCCAAGAATCCAAGTGGGTTTTATCCGCATGATCCGCATGCAGCGCACGACTGGCAGGGTGGCATTAGCGCCCTCACACCGGTGAGTCAGTGGCGGATTATAAGGAGGAAAGACCCTCCGCTCATCTCAGACCCAATCTTTCTCCACAGAGGGGCAGCCTGCAGGCTTACAATCTGGGCAAGAACCTGCGGATGCGCTACTATCGCCTGTTTCCTCCGAACAGCCTCTACACACAGCAGCAGGTGCACGTGCTCAGCTCTGCTGCGGAACGCTGTGTGGTGCGTCAAGAAAGGTAACCCATGAGATGCGGTAAACCTAATCAGTTGGCCGTTATCTTTTAGATGAGCGCCCAAAGCGTCTTGGCCGGTTTCATGCCACCGCTGGAGAACAATAATGTGCTGCCCATACCCTGGCAACCAGTGGCTGTAAATACATTATCTCGCAACGATGACATTGTAAGTTCTGCAATCCAAAATCTATTCCACAATGTGCAACTCACACAGTCCATTATTTCCCCCTCCAGCTGCTGGCCCAGAAGAAACCCTGCCTCAAATATGACACCATACTGCAGAAGCTCTACAAGTCGCCCACACCAGAACTGCAGAAACTGAACGAGGACAACAAGGAGCTGTACAAGCTGCTCACAAAGAACACAGGCAAGGTGGGACAATCACTGCCGATGGCCTAAAGATCCCTGAAGATAATTGATTAACTCAACTTGCAGAACATTTCGAATGTGTTGGATGTGGAGCTGCTGTACGGCACACTGAAGACGGAGGAGGAGGCGGGTCTGGTGCTGCCCGATTGGACCGAGAATATATATCCAGAGGAGATACGGCCGCTGGCCGAGCGTAGCTATGCTTTGTTCACAGAATCCAATCTGATGAAGCGCATCAAGGGCGGCGCCTTCCTCACTGAAATACTCAACAAAATGCAAAATAAACGCAAGAAGAACTTGAGTCCGGATCGAAAGATATTCCTATATGCCGGGCACGATGTCACGCTGGTTAATGTGATGAACTCGCTGGGGATACTGGATCAGACGGCCAAGCTGCCGGAATACGCATCCGCCTTGGCCTTTGAGCTGCATCACAGCAAATACTTTAGTGATGGCGACTTCGAAGTGAAGGTTTGTTTGTGCAGGAAAGTTGGTTGATTGGTTTTCATGTGTCCATTCTGCAGTTGGTTTACTACTACAACAGCGACGACAAGTTCCCCAAGGAGCTGAGCATACCCAATTGTGATGTGCCCTGCTCGCTCACGCAGTTTGAGGCCTCGCTGAAGGCACTGCTCCTGGACAACTACGACGATACCTGCGAGAATCATCCGCCCGACTGCAGAAACTAAAATTATTGATTCGTTTTGTTTTGTTTTGTTATTCAAAACTTAATATAATAGAGAGGTAAAGGTTGCTGCTGCTCTAAGCAGCCCAGTTGTAAAATGTTTACATTTCCCATTTGGATTCAAAAATTAAAACCGAGCCCCCTTATCCTCGGCATATAGAAAATAGATTGGAACCTTTACCGTCTTGCTGACATGCACGATCTCTGTGTGGCTAATTAAGCGAATGGCAGCCAGTCCATAGAAGAGCATAGGTAAGCCTGCGAGACGGTTGGGTGTTCATATAAACCATGTCCATTGTATGGTCGCCACTCACCCAAGTTGATCACTTTCAGCACACGGAAGAACTTGTCTTCGAGCGACAGATCCTGCACCTCGCGCCTGCTGCAGTGGTACTTCATATAGGGATAGCAGCCGGTTCTCAGTATGTGGTAGTTGGTGCCCGTGTCCAGAGTCCAATTAAAGTGCGACATTCCACGCTGATCGTTGCTGACATCTCTGAACTGAAATTGCAGTGCAGAAGATTGTCATTAGGATTGTCTGAGGAACGCATTCCCTTACCTTGACGAAATATGATGTCCAAGGCGGCTCTTTGCATTGTTTCAAGTATGCGGTCAACACTTCCGAGGCACGGGGCTTTAATAAAACGCGGGTAAGATGCATTGCATGCTCCAAAATGAATGGGAAAATGGTTTATTATGTTTGTTTATGTTTGTTTTTGAAATCGAATTGGAGCTCATTATGCAACGTAAATATGAGTCGAGATTTGGTGTGACCCTCAGAAATATACCACAGTACCAAACAATATACCAAAGAAGCACAGACCGTTCATATTGCTCGATTTTCATATTCTGTTGAATATTACCAGCCACCTAGGGCTTTAAGCTATTGTAATATAATTGTATACAATTGCTGAATCAAATCTCCACAAAAGGGCTATTTGAAAAGTTCCCTTTTGCGCATGGGATATTTAAAAAAATGAACAAATGAATCAGTTATGGCACAAAAGAACCGCAACTGACTCAATTGACTACAGACCCTCGTTGGAAATTCAAAATTCAATGCCCGTCTCTTTGTTTAATTTATTTTCCTCCTTAGTGTGCTGGCGAATGCCAGTAATAGAAGTAAATCTGACCGAGCTCGCCTGGTAGAGCACTTCGATCCGGTGCCCATTGCCAACGAGAAGCTGCTGGAGTACGAGAATGGTTCAAGTGAACGCCAGGAACTGGACTCTTCGCTGCAAAAAATTCTGTCCACAGTGAAGCACGTGCCCATTGTGATCGATGGCGAGGAGCATAAACTTGGGAACGAGCTGCTGCAGATCTTGCCGTACAACATCAAGAGGCCCATAGCTCGATATGGCCACGCGTCTCACGGGATGTTGGAAACGGCCATGGAGAAGACAGTGGAGGCGCAGGAGCGATGGGACAGGACACAGTTGAGTGAGCGGATGTACATCTGGCAAAGGGCAGCTGAGATGATAGCCACCAAATACCGGTTTGACATTGTCGCCGCCACAATGCTCGGCCAGGGAAAGACGCTGCGGCAGGCGGAGATGGATGTGGCCGAACTCGTCGATTTTATGCGCATCAGTCCCGCCTTCCTGCGCGACGTGGCCAGCTATGAGCCCATCAACGACTGCCCCGACACGCAGCACAACTACGTGCGACTGCGTGGCTTGACCGGGTTCGTGGCTGCTATCAGTCCCTTCAACTACACCAGCATTGCGGCCAATTTGGCCTTTACACCGGCCCTGATGGGAAACGCGGTGATGTGGAAGCCCTCGGACTCGGCCATTCTGTCTAATTGGTTCGTGTTTCAGGCCATGCGCGACGCTGGACTGCCCGATGGTGTGGTCAACTTTATTCCCTCCGAGGAGACGACCTTTGCCGCGGCCGTCACGCAGCACTCCAAGCTGGCTGGGATTCACTTTACGGGCACCGCGGGAGTGCTGAAGGTGCTGTGGCAGCTGGTGGCCAACAACATAAATATCTACGAGAACTATCCACGACTGGTGGGTGACTCTGGCGGCAAGAACTTCCACTTTGTGCACTCGTCTGCCGATCCAGAGACAGCGGTGGCATGCACCATTCGAGCGGCCTTCGAGTATGCGGGCCAGAAGTGCTCCTCCTGCTCGATGCTCTACGTGCCCCAGTCGCTGTGGGAGTCGCACATCAAGCAGCCTCTGCTGCAGATCAGCTCCAAGCTCTTTGTCAGCAAAGCCACCTACTGTGAGTGCTTCTACTCGGCGCTGATCAACAGGCAGGCCTACAATCGCATCTACATGTGGCTGCGGTACATCGGGCTGAATCCCGACTGCGAGCTCCTCACCGGCGGCACGTGCTGCCGGAAGCAGGGCTACTACGTGGATCCCACCATTGTGCAGGTGCACGACCTCAACGATCGCATCTGCAGGGAGGAGCTGCTCGGGCCCATCCTCTGCGTTCATGTCTATGCGGACGAGCAGTTGCCGCAGACCATGGCAAAGGTGGCCGAAATAAATCACGGCCCCATCGGCTCTGTCTTTGCCAGCGACGCTGATTTCATCGATGAGGCCTACAGGGTCTTCAAGTTTAATGTGGCAAATCTGAATGTCAACGACAAATCCACTGGCGCCATGGTGGCCAAGCAGCCCTTTGGAGCCGGCCACAAGACGGGCACCAGCGACAAACTGGGCAGTCCGCACTCCCTGCTGCGTTGGACGTCCCCGCAGGTGATCAAGGAGTCCTTCAAGCCACACCTCAACGTCTACTATCCCTACATGGAGATCAGTGAACACATAAAGAACATTGGCAAGCCACAGCCCAAGCCGGAAAGCAAACCACAAACTCAAACGGAGACCAGAGATGACACCCAAGTGGCATGAATGACTCCCGTGGCTGGTGGTGTTCAGTCAGAGATCGGTCACAAAATTTGAATTGTTGTATAAGAAAAGGGGAAAAATATACTAAAATAAAAACTTGAGGGAATATTCTGTATAAAGTAAGCCAAGTTTTTAATTCCTACTTTTTCCATTGCCTCATCTAAGAGGCTGAAACTTTTCCGTCTCATTATTTTGTTAATATGTCAGTCGCCTGACCATATCCTAAATAGTAAAAGAAATAGTTATGCGCACTGAGAAACGGAAACTAATTTTGATTCTGCAAAGACGATTGGATAACTGATTTAATTATATTTTGTATTATAAATTATGAAATGTCTGCATGGAGTGAGCGGCAGTGTCTAGTCTGTGTCATCAGTTGCCTACTGCTATCAATCGCCGCTGCAGCAAACAGCCCAAAGATGAATCAGCAGGAGGCCGCCACATGGAGTGGAAGAATGGGCCGCAATAGTGCTGCCCGGCGGCTGCATACCCAACTGCTCTACGATGCCTATCGTGATCGTCTGAGGGCCGAGGAAGAGGTAAGGGAGGAGGAAGGCAAGGACGCAGCAATGGACGAGCAGTCACTGGAGCATTCATGGAAATACTTTGATCGAGTTTCAAAGGAAGACAGAGAAGAAGCAGCCGCTGAGAAGAAGAAGCCTCCAGTCAGTGGAATGTTAATATTAAAAATGAACAACGAACCAGCAGCCATCAACTCCACAGCAAAGGCGACGCATCAACAGGAAGAGGAGAACCGTGTCAAAGCCTTGCAGCTGCAGCCAGTTGCTGTTGCAACCTCAAGGCCAATCCCAAAGCTCTCGAGTGAGAAACTCTCCACATCACTGGGGGAGACGCTAACCAAATCAGGATCGCTTGGGCTCAGTGCTGTGACTCGACTAATGGATGCCCTCGAGCAGCTCGAGCAGAATGACTTGGTAAGCGAATTGGCAAAGAGAATCGGCGCTGGAATGGAGACAAAATTGAGCAGCAACAGCTCCCTGTTGCTGGGTCTAGCCACAAGTGAACAGACTCTCAACGAGCTACTCGATGACGTGGATCCGCAGAGGGTTGCGACACATTTCAAGAATGTCCTCAAAGACTTGAAGAAGCGTCGACCGGTTGACCAGCTGGGTGGCCTCTATGACGATTATCTGCAAATATTCAATCAAGCGCTCAGTGGACAGAAGTTTGCGCGTGCGTCCACAAGTAAAGGAGAAGGACCTGAACAGACCAGGAAATATGTGAAGCTGCAAAAACCTCCAGCAGGGGAAACCAAATACGCGAATGCCTTGGAGACGTTCCTCAAGATGAGCAAGGAGAATCAGTTGAACGGCGGCCTCAAGCCGTACTACTTGCCGAAGTCCAAGAACCGACAACTCATCTGGAATGAGGTTCCACTGATCAAGCCGGAGCACAGCGCAGAGCCACAAAAGTTGAAGGCAGAAAGCATGAGAAGGCTTCACGACGTTAAGAAGAAACTCAAGCTACTGGACAGCGATGAGCGTGACTCCAAAATGAAGCTCAAAACGCAGCCTGGCACTGCGGAAGTTGAGTCTGCTCCGGCGCTGGATGCCAATGTGATTATCAATGGCTTGAAGGCGATCAAGAAGGCGCCGTTCTACAATCTCTTCGTTGAGTACCAAAGGCAGATGCTGAACCTCAAGCAGAGTCTGCAATGCAAGCAGGATTGGTGGAAGAATGTGATGGATAAAGGAGCGGAATTTGCCAGTGCAATGTCGAAGCGGAATGTGCCCAATTATCTCTACCCGCTGCCAGCTCCCGGAGTTCCCAGTGCTCCTGCTGTGCCTGCTCCAGTGCCCTTTCCCGAGGCACTAATGAAGCAAGCGGGTTCCATGCCGCAGATCGGGGGCAATGTGATGGACAATATGGCCAGTCAAATGAATATTTCTCCACTGGAGTTGGCCCAGCGGCTAGTGGGTTCGAGTCCACGTCCCATCGCTACAGCTACAGAACGAATGCCCACAGAATATGGTCCTGTGCAGGGACCGCTGGGTAAGTGGTTGTAGTTTCGGTAAAGGCTTAGCCCACAATCTTTGACGCACTCTTTTCAGTTGGACAGCTGATGAGTGTGCCACTGAATACAGTCCGGAAAACGCAGCAGTTTGTGCCACAAACATCTGTGCAGCCGCCACAGATGAAGGAGAATATTATAGCAGAACCGACGACACTCGAGCCACCAGTGCAGGACCAACCAGCACAGGAGCCATCAAAGAATGTCTCTTCGAAACATGAGAGCACATTGGGACAGGAATCATCCAACATAGCGCCAGTACTGGACAAGATACTGCAGCGCTTGGAGACAATTCAGGAGCTGAAGTGCAACAGCTCGACCTTCAAGGTCGACGAAAAGGAGGAGCTTCCGGATCTGCCCTGTTGCTTTGCCGATGCAGATGGTTGGGCAACACTTCTACACTAATTCCAACACAATTTAATGCTCTCTGCCCCATAGCTGCACCCTGCGACATAAATGGTTCTTGGGAGTCCCACTATACGGGCGTGCGGATCAACATTCGAACACCCAAGAAGGGCAAACAGCGCGAGGGAGAGTCGAAGCCAACTTGTTACAATCCCAAAGGAGACAAGTCGCGGCGACAGTGCGTGAAGATGAACCAATCGCAGCTGAAGGATAAGTCTGATGCCAAGAAGGAGGAGCAGCTGCACGGCGGCCTGACGCTCAATGTCAGTGTGCAGGAAATTGTGCCGCCGCGAACCCATGCGATCTTCGAGAACCTCACCGAGTGGGATGTTTCGGGGCAATCGTTGAGCGAATTGGGTGGCCCCATCTCGCTGGCATTCCGCAAGGTGAAATCTAATCAAATTGTCAACTTTGTGGGCTACTGCCGCAACTGTGGCTGCGTGGATACGATATTTGGATCGTGGACATTCTGCCAGCCGTCTCGGGACTGTCAGGACATCACCATGTCCATTACGGACAAGCGGGATCTGCTGAGGAGATACAATCTGGACGAGAAGCGCAGGAATCGCTACAAGGAGCAGCTCTATCTGGGCAGCAAGTTTGCCCGCTTGGAGAAGGAACGAATGGAGGCCGAACTGATGAAGTTCGAGAGGTCCACGCTCCCGCCGCAACTGCAACAGAATTAGGCAGCTTCCCGACTCTTTTAACTTATTCAATTGTGTTCTGTGTGTTTGCAATTATTTTCTTTGTATATTTTTTAAGAATTTCACAAACGTTTCGCCTGTTCTTTCTGATGGTTGATGAAGGACATGGCATAGCCAATGGATCGCTTCACGCAGTGTTCATCCATTTGGTCGTGCGACTTGCACTGACGCAGCTGATCCGTCACGTACTCCACAATTCGCTTCCTGAGTTGTTCGTTGTCGATGCGATCCAGACGCTTCTCCACCTTGGGCATCAGCACATAGGACTGGGGATGATCGGCCACGTCGCAGGGCCACACCGAGGAGTGTCTGTGCGACCAGCTGGGACTCGCCTCCGGCGACTCTCGCGATTCACTCGATTCGCGCAGAGTGCGTGCCTGGCCCAATGCCAGCGCTGTGGCGAGTACTAAGAAGAGCAGAAAGCGCATTGCGTTGAACGAATGAAACTAAGTATTTGATTGCTAAGCCACTGGGTTGCTCAGGTTTTATAGGCCTTATCAGCTACCAAAACCGCTGACCGACCCTTTCATGTGTCCATTTGGCAAGGGCCTCAGCCTCAGCCGCAGTCTCAGTCTCAGTCTCAGTCTCAAGCCTGCAATCTGTGCACGTCTCAGTTGGCTTCTAAACTGTTCTTTGATAAGAAAGTTCACTGGCCTTGGTAAGTTGATTTTGCACTGACAAAATGGGGTGCGGAGGAGCAGACTTTGTCAGTCTCTAACGATAATCTCTACCGATTGAGTGGCAACTATTATAATTACCTACTATATGCCAGGGACACTTTGCCCTCTTCTTAATCTACATTTACAATTTAAAACAGCTCATTCGATCACTTTTGTATGTTCTTGGCAATCCATTCGATAATGTCCTCAATGCCGCTGCCTGTCCTCGCCGAACACTCGAGTATATTCCACTCTCGACCCTCCAAACGCCTCAGACCCAGCAGATCGACGACGGAGCGACTGCACAGTGCACCCAGAGCTTCCTGTTTATTGGCCACAATTAGCAGTGGAATCTGCTGCAGTCGCTCATCCAGCAGAACATCGCAGAGCACACAACGAGCCTCGCTCAGCCGCGCTGCATCCTTGCAGTCGATGACAAAGATCTGCGAATGGATCTCTCATTAAATGGGATCAATCAAGCATTCTAGAGTTAGCATCTTACCAATGCCCTCACATGCTGATAGTAGTTGGCCCATAGAACTCGGTCTTTCAGCTGTCCGCCTAGATCAAACATTTTTATTTTGCTTCCTTTGACTTTAAGGTGCAGCTCAGTGGCCACCAGAGAGGCAGCCACTTGCTGTAAAATAGATTATAAAGATAACATCAATATCGGATTGGACACAAACAGCTTACAGCGTCACACAGTTTGTCAGCTAGGCGGGCAGTCAGTGAGGATTTGCCAGCATTGTCCAGACCCAAAACAAGTAGACAGGAATCTGTCTCACTTTTGGGCAGAAACTTGCGAATGAGCGACAAGCACATTGAGTTCTTATTTTATTTAGAAGTAGAAGTAAAACTGAATATTTACTAGATGTACATATATATTTATGAGTCGAACCTTAACATAGAGCGTAGCACACAACGTAGCGGATTGCTTAGATTATTTCTTCATGTTCCTGCACACCCAGTCCATGCCCTCCTTCAGTCCCGTGGCATTGACAGCCGTGCAGGCCTTGATCTCCCATGTGCGCCCCTGCAGCTGAACCAAACTCATTTTCTCCGCCACCTCGGAGGCAGTCATGGCGTCGGGCATGTCCTGCTTGTTGGCAAACACCAGCAAGGGCACCTGCTTCAGGCGATTGTCCATCAAGAGTTCAAATAGTTCGCTGCCAGCCTCCGGCAGGCGGGCACGATCCGTGCAGTCAATTACGTAGATCTGTTAAAGGGGTAGAGAGAGTGTTTTTAGATAGATTACAAGATTATTATCTCCATGTAGACTCACCAGAACATCGGTATTGGCAAAGTAATTCTTCCAATAGGGCCGAATCTTCCACTGGCCGCCGATGTCCCACACATTGAGCTTGAAGCCATCGGCTGCCACGGACTTGATGTTGAACCCGGCCGTGGGTGTTACCTGCAGGGGTTCACTCCTTATTTTTGGGGAAAAACAGAAACGCTTCTGTTTCTTTTTCATACGAACCGTTGTTATATCCTCCGACGCCAGTTGCTTCAGAATCGTGGTCTTGCCCGCATTGTCCAGGCCAAGGAGCAGAATTCGTGCCTCCTTTTCTGGATTCGGTCGCAGTTTGCGTAACAGCGAAAGCAGACCCTAGATTAATAAAATATTATTAGTTTCCATTTACAATTTTTGAATTGTGAGGAGGGCGCCAAAAGCACAGAGCAGTGCTGGCAAAAGCACCGAGCGACTAGTGCTGGGCAACGCAGCTTTTACTTATGTATCCATGGCAACACGATCGACGACAACAAACAGAATTAGATTTTCGGGAAAAATTACTTAATAACAATTTATAATTGGCCATTACGCCACGAAAGTGTCCAACGAGAAGTGCATAACCTACTTACCATCTTGCTCGATCTGAAGGCGGCGACAGCTCGTCACTATCTGTCCCGGAGATTTTGTACGATAAGGCGGCGCGCAGTGCGAGCGCTCCTGAACGTGTCTTTTGGATTAGGAGGAAAACTGATAGAGAAAAAACACCACCAAACACAACATTTCAGGTTCAACGCCAGGCACCAACTGCTCAACAATTCTCTCAACGCTCCACCAACCAACAACAACAGCAGCAGCAGCAGCAACAAGAGCGGGCCAAAAGCGTCGCTACGCAACCGCCCGGTCTGGGGCTTGGGTCTGTGTCTGGTCGGGCCGTGTGTGGAGCCGTCCGAAACGGAAGAAGATGCGACAGTTACTATTTACGGGCTTCAACGCATTTGGCCAGCATGAATTTGTAAACAGCCCCCACGACGAGTGCGCTGCCAGTGCAGGTTTTCGTGGTTTGTAACTGGCAACAAAGCCGCCGCCGCGCCCGCTCTCTCATTCAATTGAAATGTATACTAAGCAGTCCTTTCATTATAGAAATAAGTGCGCACGACCGCGGCAATAACAACACAAAGAACCAGTGCACGATCTCATTCGCTTGGCGTTACACCGCCTATGCATTGGGCCGGAAGTTGTCGCTGCGGGGCCTCCTCGAGACGGAGCCGGGCGAGTGCGTGGAAGTGGAAGCGCCTGGAGAGATAAAAGCCTTGGCCGCTGGCGACTCGCACTGCCTGGTTCTGCTGTGCACTGGCGAGCTGTACAAAATCCAGCCCAAACTGGAGGCGACACTGCAAGCGATTAGACTGGAAAATCCCCCCCGACCAAGTACGGCAACGAAGCGGACTATTTTCGGTGCGGTCAAGGCTTCTGCGCCTCCCAGCATCGAGCACATTGCCTGCGGAACGAACATCAATGTGGCTGTGAACTCTGAAAATGCGGTGTACTCCATACCCAGCTGCCTGCATCAGTTCCCCGATCGACAGTGGCGAGTCCAACAGCTGGAATGTGGCCATGAGCATGCTCTGCTTCTCAATGGAAACGGCGACGTGTACACCTGGGGAAATGGCCTGTAGGTATTCCCATTGATGATGATTCATGGTCTTTTTGATTGTTTGGTTTACTTATCCAAAGTCGCGGACAGCTGGGACAAGTGGCGTTATGTGTGGAAGAGACGCCCCAATTAATAGAGTCGCTAGCGGGGATCAAAGTAAGTTCCTTTCCTCGCTTCTTATCTCATTTTGTGACACTCGTGTGTTAATTGTAGATAACTGGCATTGCTGCCGGCGGATGGCACAGTGCGGCTATATCCGCATTCGGAGATCTCTACACTTGGGGTCTCAACTGCAGTGGACAACTGGGCATGCGCGTCATGAAACCCAATGGCTTGCAGAAGGAGCCCACCGTGTATCCCCTACCTCAGCTGCACGATCTGCCCGACTGCTGCTGCTGCTCCAGCAAAGAGAGTGGGGCTAAAGACACAGACGTCTGTGAGCCTCTCAAAGTTTTCGCCGGCTCTCGTCACACCCTGCTGATTCGACGGTGTGGGAGGCTATGGGCTAGTGGCTGGTGCATCCACGGTCAGTTGGGCAAGCAACTGTGTGAGCAGAACTTTTTGGACGCATTCCAAGCTCTTCATAGATTTGGTGCAGACCCCGATGTCGTCAACGTTCTCTGTGGCCCTTGGGCAACGCTGCTCATGGTTAGGCAAAAGGAGAGTGTTTCCACTGATGATCCCATATCATCAAGATGTTAAAAAGTTTTTTTATTTATTTATTTTATTTGTCGAGAATAAATTACATATTGACTCTATTATCTACGTCTATTCAAAATTGATGAAAATCAAAGCCTCTACTGGGACAGGCCGCTTTCGGCGCCCCTTTGATTGGGGCGCCCGAACACACCCCTGGCCTTCTCGTCCACATACCATTTGGAGCCCACTGGCGCCAGAGTTCATAAAAATTTCGTCAAAGTTCATAAAATTGCCACCAAAACCTGGCGGCGCTATGTATTACACCGGCCAGCTTGTGTCAGAAAGACCTTTTTTCACTTTCATGGCGTCAATCTTTTGACAGATATAAATTTAAAAAAGTTTGATGCTAATGTTAACTGTCCAATGTTAATGTTAAATGTCTATGTTAAATACAAATGTCCGCAAAAATATTAAGCAGTTTATCTACCAAAATAGATACAATTCGCAAAAGTTTGCTGAAAGTAACAAGCGGACATGAGCGATAAGCAGCTAAATGTAAACGTTAAGTGTAATATGGCTCTCAATGGCAATCAGTCAACGGCAGCAGCTACAACTGTTAGCAGGTCTGTTAGCACACTGAAACAAACCATAAAATGTTATATAGCTATAATTGTATCCGGAGCCAGCCAATAACGGTCATTAAATTTTAAATTTAAATTCAAATCCAAAATCCAAACAATTTTTATTAAATAGCTCACTGTTAATTTAGAATGCTGCAAATGCTTTGCATGGGCTTACGTGAAGTTCAAAACATAATTACTATGGCATCCAAAAATATTGAATGAAAACCGTAACTAGAACAAGAACACTAAAGCTAAATGACGTAGCATGATCCGCCTTGCCCCTAAGATCAATCGAAATTACTATAGGATTTAATTCGAAGTGTTTTTTAACACTTACGTGTGCCTGGGAACATTTTCCTTGAATTCCGATTTGATATTTCCTTTTGGCTTGTACCGCGCCACAACATAATGGTTTCCATCCCTGTGAAGTTGAGGGTGATTGGTCGGTTTTCCTAATTTTATCAATGAACGATTCACTCACTTTGTAACGAGGCCAATGCCCAGTTTGGTAGAAGATTTCCAGATCATGGCCGTGAAGTGTTCTGTTTCCGCGTTCAACCTTGGTGAAGAAAAATCGTGTAGGACCTTCTCCAAATACCAGCTCTCTATGCAATCTATTGGCTTGAAGAAAGTTATGCACATGTTTTCTGTATACCCAACACCATTCGATGGCTCGATTTTACCCTTTTCGGACAGAGTCTGTGTGACAAAAAACATCAGTTAGTTGCGTGGGATTTAGTTTCGCATTGAATTATACCTTTGCATATTCTTGACATTCGGTGGATAGATCGTCATCCAGCTGCAGTTTTGGGCAACTGTGTTCTTTTCTTAACTCATTGTGACGCTTAAGCGCCTCCTTAGCAAAGTCCCCTTGGATGGGCGCGATCTACAATTTAAGTTTAATTTTATTAGTGCTTTTTGCACTATTTATGGTATTTCACTCACCACATAAATTGCTAAAAAGATCAGAATAATTGTAGCCTGCATTGTACATCAATTTGTTTCAACTTAAAAGTTTTTACTTTGAAATCATTGAGGTATACATATAGACTGGCAGTAGAATCCAGGGTTAGAACGATATAATTCTTATGCATTCGACAAAGCTGTTCTTCAAATGTCATCACAAAGACTACTTTTGTTTCCATCAGGAATCTTTTGGAAACCTACTTCCAGTAAGCTTTCCCATACTGATAAAAATCGTTTTTAAGGATCTCAGGACTAGGCATATTGTATGTAGAATCATTTTAATAAGTGATCCAACCCAAATCAGACATTGAATTGTTTAAATATTAGGGCCAGTGGCCTCACAAGGCATTCAAGACACTCCCTTCCTTTCGTTGTTTAACTTAAAATATCTGAATTATCTGAAAGGTTCTAGTGCTCGTTCCATTTTATATCAAATCTTTCGGTTAAAAATCATTAAGAGTCTACAGTCACCAGTTAACGGCGGCATCGCCTACAGGGCGGCACACAAATTTGTTCGTCTTGGGGTAGGACTGCAGCCGTTGATGTGCCATTGTGCCGTAGCCGTCGACGTCGCAGTAAATTTAATCAGTAAATTTTATTTTTAAAAATGTTATTAAACAATATTTGCCATAGCAAAAGTCAGACGAACATAGTGCAATAAACTTTTCAGCACTTGTGACTCGTCAGACCCGATGAGTGGCCGTGCGGCCAGCCTGACTGCCTGACTGCCTGACTGCCTGACTGATTGACTGTCGTCGAGTTGGGCTGTTGTTGCTTGGGCTTTTGTTGTGTTGGGGTTTTTCTTTGTTTTAGCTTGTAACTTGGTGGGCTATTTTCCGCGAAGGCGTGATAATTTCGATTTCGTTGAAGTGTGATCCGCGGGAAGGTTTTGATAGGCAAGTTCTTCGTGCGCCATGCGTGTGCTTGATACGTGATTCAACTTAGAATCGTTTTAGTATTTCCAGAAATCGCATGGACTGTTCTCTAAAGGATACCTTTGGGAAGCGATATCCATGCTTCCTTCAAACATTTCCATGCATTTTTTGCGAGTTTCAAATCTTGACTTACCCCCCTCCATCGAACGCATTGTAGCGCCTTCAATGGCCGCCTCTGTCCAACCGTCTATAAATTCAGAGTATATATGTACATACGAGTATATGTGCGTACAGCTGTGTGGTCTGTGTAGCGGAGTTGAGTTCAACGCTTTCATGTTATTTGCCAAATGAAAAAGTAGAAAACAAATGTTTATCTTATAATGCACTCTGTGTGGCAGTTCAGTTCTGGAGACTCACGGACAGACCAGACGGAATGCGGTGCGGTGCGTAAATAGGCTTTGCTTTTGGGCTTTACTTTTTCATTTTATGAGCGGTTTTTTGTTGGCAAACTTTGTTATCGACAAAAAAAGAACCCTGGCTGGAATATTCTGCCAGAGGACCACATAGATGGACGCGCAGAAGAGGGTGCGGTGAAGGTGGCAAGACGGCGAACCAGCGGGTGCTTGTCACTTTTAGGTCGCAAAACTATTTGCAGCTAGAAATTGCCACCGCAGAATGACTAAGAGAGTGCCGGGCAGAGAAACAGAGCGGGAGAGATGGAGCGATGGTGAGTTCAAGCGCCTGACTCAAGGCAATCACTGTCTGCAGCTTATCAGGGGTGGGTAGGCAGAGCGGCAGAGGCGGCAGCAACCACTTGAGGGCCTGTCGACGACCATCCCAAGTACGAAAAGTGCTAATTGTGGACCCCTACCACCCCTTCCCCTTCTCCTTCCCATTCCTTCCATCATCATGTTGGGCTTTTCGTTTCTCGAAAAGTGTAATTCATGCGTGCCAGGAGACGCCAAAGTTTCAACAGAAATCAGTCAAACATAACCGAAAACACGAAAGAGTGCTGAAGGACTGGAGTACATACACACAAACACACACATATGCATTCCCTTCTGACTGCAAAATATCTTTATAAAATATTCTCGAATATATTACAATGCATCTGGTCTAAGGTAGGAGTGGGAGCATGTTTGCTTGGGTTCCACCGTCCGAGTGCGTGCAACACAGATCACTGTTTGATAGTTGTGGCAACTCCTGCTAGCGCCTCATCAGCATGACACCACTGGCCTTTCTCCCTCTCCCGTTTGTTGTGTGCAAAGGTCTCATCACTTGGCCCGCTCCCTGACCTACCTTGGCGCTTGTCTGCGCTCTGAGCGAGTATCTGTGTGGGCGTCTCTCTCTCTCTTTCTCCGCAGTGTGTGTGTCTGCGCCTATTTACTTTTTGGCGTACATTGAACCGCAAGAACTCAACTCAAATGCCAAGCATTCCGCACCGCCCCCACAACTAATCATCACTTTGTTTTTGCGTTAATGACTTGCCTTGTCCCGCGCCCCAACTCTCTCTGGCTCTCTCTTTCGTATCCGCATCCCTCTGGGGAGGCACACACTTAAGTGAATACACAAAAAACGAGGAGCAGAACGTGTTTCCAAAACGTTTTGGCATCCCAAATGCAAATGGAAGTCGTCACCCGCTCCTGTCCTACCACTCAAAGTGCCATAAAAATTATGCATGAATGTATTTGCTTCATTTCTGCACTTGCTGCCGACTGCAACACATGCCTGCCCAAATATAAAAAAGCCCCAACACGTCCCCTGCCCCGCACCGCCCTTGACTAGCCAAAAAAGAAACAAACAAAAATGAAAACAGAAAAAATTGTAGAACGAATGAAGGGAACGGAACAGAACGGAACGGAACGAATGCAGCGTCGCATTTTTACGGCTCCATTCATGTGACGACGGAAGTGTCAAGTGGCTGTTGGCAACTCCTCGTCGACGGGCGACTACTCTCCTCATCCTGCACGTCCTTTTCGTCAACGTCGCCGTAGCTGGTGCTTCTGCTGCTGCTGCTGCTGCTGCTGCCGTTGCCTTCGTCGCTCTGCATCGAAAATGCCGTTATTGTTGCCAGTTGTCTACATGCTCTATGCTCTCTATGCTCCATGTACATCACATCACATCACATCACTCCGACCCCTACCAGGAGACGTCTACGTGCGCCTCCAAGTTACATTCTGCTTGCCAATCTCCCTCGTCCGCCGTGATGGCGTCTGCCGTTGAGTGGGCAAACTTTTTAACGTACATATGTATGGATGTATGAACATATGTACATAGTCTGTGTGGGTGTATTTCACATTTTTTGTTCACATTTTCCCCATTTTTTGTGTGCCTGTGTGCCTGTGTGCCTGTGTGTGTGTGTGTACTTTGCTTCCTTTTTCTATGCCCTTCATTTAGGTGGCTTTGTTCTTTTCGGAGTACAGTTGTGCGCGCAGGGGTAAGTAGCCTCTGTCAAGTAGATGGCTAAGTAGACGGAGATTTTTGATACGAACCAATATTTGATGCAAGTGAGACATACAGAAGCATGCAAGAAACCTATGTACGAAGGGCATTTGGATAAATACTGAGAAAAGTACTAAGAAAACTTAGACTTGTGCTTACAGCAAGATCTTCCCATGAGTAACATTGCAAAAGGCAGCCTTGGATGTCCGTTTA